AACTCCACGTGTGCTGTTTGTCCAAAAATATACATAGCCCTGCAGAAAGAACACAAGAAGGCAATTACTGATCTTAATTGCTGTTTCCACCCCTGCTGTCTTGCCTGTGCTTTCTCTGAGGCTGTTGCTCCTCTCACAGCAGAAATGTCCCTGCAGGCTGTCATTCTGTCTCAAGATTTGCTGTCTAAAAAAACTCAACTCATCCTCACAACTCCACTTGCATAATCCACTGGTGTCACTTACCAGCTGGCAGAAAGGACATCACGCATATTTTGAAAGCTCTTTTCATGTTTTATTCAACTCATCCAAGTTCTTCAGTAGCATTCAAGGCACCTATATCAACCACTGTTGACAAGAGCAAGAACACTTCCCTGCGAAAAAAAAAAATCCTTTTCTTTTACACAGTAACTAATCTGGGTTGGATTCCAGAAATTTGTTCCAATGCTCAGGAGTCAGTTGCAATATATATCAAATATAGTTGCAATAACCATACTGTCCTCCAGCAAAGAAAGGGTTGGTCCTAGGCCTCTGTCCCTGGCAAATTCATGTGAACAAATCTTAGCTTAAATTTTCTGTTCTATCCACAGCTTCTGACATTCCAGGTTATTCCAAGTGCAGCATCCGGGCTAATAGATACTGCTCTGGAAAATTGTCAAAAAGAATGCTGAGGCTGCAAATACTCAAACATTAGGAAATGCCAGAAGGAAAACTGTCTGTACAACATTAATTATTTCTTCCTGACACTTCAGTGGGAAAATGGTATGTGCTATGGTTAATTTATGAAATTCTTGTCTCTGTTCAGCTCTCCTGCAGCTGACTGCAGAGCACTGCCAAGATTACACAGCACTTCACAAACCAGGGAGACTGAAAGGGCACCAGGCCCTGGGAGCTCCACACCATCAGACACAGCACCACAGCACTGGTGCAAGGTCTGCATTGCTTTCACCTAAACAGCACTGCATTACAACACCAAAACAGGCAAAACTGACCACCCTAACAGCTCCATTAACAACAAAAACAATGGGAAAACAAGAAGCAGAATGTTTACAGCAGTTGCTTTCCTTCCTAATAGCTAGAGCTCATGCTTTTTCTAGCTCTGTTCTCACTGCATGCCAGTGATGCCAAAAAGTTGGAAAATGTCTATAAGATTAGATATACCAACAGGTTTTATTTTGAGATGACTGTGTATTACTAGCAGGAAGAGAAAGTGATGGATGCTACAATTCATTGTAATGCAGAGTGATAGAATTTAAATTAACTCTATCACTGTGCATGAATTTCAGGACTTAAATGCAGAAATTAAGGACTAAAATAAAAATAAATTAATTGTGAAATCAAGCAAGTAGAGGCAGGTGTTTACAAAGAAGCTTTCTGCAAGTTGTTTTGAGGAAAATCAATTTTCCTGGTTCCAATATCTTCATTATATGTGAACAGCACCTCTCCATGCAAGCCTTACTCATTATTATCTGACACATACTGTCACAAGAGCTCCTTGGCAGAGATGGAAGATGTTTAGACAGCTCAGAAAACCCTTTTTCTAATGAAGGTTTTAGAGCAGAGGAGTAGGAAGAAAATACAGGGAAAGAACAGAACAGAAACAATTGTACATGCCATCTACAACTTGATTTTCATTAGTCAACCTTCAAGCTCTTTCAAGAAGTGAACATCAGGGTTGATTGGGCCCAGAGAGATAAAGCAAGTTCATGAGATCACAGACAAGCTATGAACAAATCTAGGAACAGAATCTGAAGTTCAAGTCCCATTCCAGTACTTTGTCTATGCAAACTAAAAGGCTCATCAATCTTCAAGTCCCAACAAAACAGATGACAGCAGGAGGCAAAAACCTACATAGTTTATCTATAATGCATGTCAGCAAAATTCTCTTTTCCTGAACTGAACAGAGAATGGGAATTTCTTTTGCTCACATTTCCCAGTCCTGTGTTCACTCCAGCTGTGCTGTAAGCCACATTCTCCCTCTCAGTGTTTGCCTGCACACAATGTCAGTGTAACTCTTCTCCCTCAGAGAAATTCTGATGCCTGCAACCAATTAACAGCTCCTGTTATGAAGCTCTTGAGAGATCAGGGAGTGCAGGGGAGGAAGAGACAGCTAAGTTGAGAAATCCAAATTAGTGTTTCCACTGGAAGGTGGGCAGGGGGGAAAGAACAACAGCAAGAAACAAACCCACAAGCAAATCCCAAAACCAGCTTAGCAATACCTGTGCTGTTTAGCTTGAGGCCAGGCCAGGCAGCAAGAACACCAGGCTGTGGTTTTTAATACATCTGTCCCTGCAACAGACGAAAAACAAGCCCTGGTTTTCTGTCAGAGCAGATGACACATGCTCTGGGCAGAGGTGTGTCAGGAACCCTCTCCACCTCCAGTACACACATTCATCCTTTGCTCCACACCATCCTAAAGATTATCTTCTCTGCTTCCCACTCCTGTGGCCTGAAACCTTCATTACAAAAGCAGATTTCCCCATCTGCTCAAAACAATCCAACTTTATACCTGTCAGCTTAAGTGGAGATGCAGCTCTTGCAATAGTATTTGTGTCAGAGGAGATTGAGCAAGATTTATATGAACAGCTACTACTCACATATACTGAAAATATAAAAATACACAGTATTGGAACAGCTTCCTTGCTTTTTCTCTCCTGGTGAATTTCAGCCCAAGCTTTTGTGAAATAACTTTGCCTCAGTGTATTTCAGTTTGTCCACAGCTCTCACCTAGCAGCAGGAAAACACACAGCCCAAAGTGTTCAAAGGGTCAGGCTCAGACTAACGCTCTTGGTGGGCACCAGACTCACTCAGCTGGACCCACATTTCTCTCACATGAAGCCCTTTTCTTTCTTTTTGTTTTCTTTTCTTAAGTTGCATCATAATCACTGTTATTAATAAGCAACTTAATGGCTTAAATCATCTTAATTCTGGTAATTTTAAGTGTATAAATCATGCCCTCACTGATGGGCATGAGAGCATCAAGAGATTTAACTGTTGCAAAACTTGCAAACTTAACAAGTGACTCTGTGCACAAATAAGAAAGAGAACAGCACTCACTTCATTTTAACCAGACAGGACCAGTTGGATGAATTGGGAAGAAATAATACAAATGAAGAAATGAAGTTCTGATGCACACCAGCAGCAAGTGAAGTTAGTTTCATCAAGTAACTCATTTTAAAGTCTCAAATAGCAGCAAAAGCTGAAAAAGTGGGTGGATAAATAAATGCTCAATAGCATAACTCTGTAACACTGCAATTTTTGAAATACATAGGGAACTGAAAAAAATGGCTGAAAAAACCATAAAAGTTATTGAATTTCAAATTACTTCCCTCATTTTTTGTTGATTTAACTCTTCAACTGTAAGATTCATAGAACCATGCTGCTGGAAATTTTCCTGTTTCCATTTCTCTGCCCAAAAAACCTAAACAAACAGATAACAGAGGCACACGGGCATGGTCCTTGGCCTCTGATGGTTGCTCCACTTCCACACTTCCTGCAAAAGCATCTGCACATGCAGCACACTAAAGTAGAAGTGCTGCATGGAACTGCACAGAGAAGTCAAGACGTGGCTGCTCAGGAAGGTAAGGCAAGAAAATGCTGCAATGTCACTGCTGCCCTGTGAAACTGCCCCTATGTTTCTTGTTGGAATCTGAAGTTATTACATCCATCACAGAAAAAAAATACCACTTATCATCTATGCATTTTTCAAGACTGAATAATGCAAGATTGTATTTACCACATTTTCTTTTACTAAGCCCCACACACAAAAAAATTAGTTAGAAAACTAACTGAAATGAGTGTCCATGCCTGTAACTCTCAGTTTCTTGAAGCTCAATTCAGTTCTTAAGAAACCCATGGATAGCATTCAACCTTCATATTTCAGGATCATAACACACACTGATTCCAATCAATAACCTTAATTTTACAGAAACTTTTTGAGCTGAAAAGTGCACACTGAAAAATTCAGCAAGCCTGCACAGAGAAATTATGATAAAGTTTTGAAACAGACAATTTGTACAGTTTTATGGCTTTCCTTAATCTCTATTTAGTCTTGAAGATAACATTAGCTTGGTTCTTGAACAAAATGTTGAAAAATACTGTGTAATATATCAGTAAGTATGAAAAGTAAGTCTCAAGTTAAAGTTCGCTACGCACTGGTACAAACCTCTCTGGTAAACTTATGGGATCCACAAATCAGTAAGGATTAAAATTTTGCTTGTTTCTTCCATTTATTTGTTCTTTTCCGCAGATCTAATAGAACCTGTGCATGGTTTCATCTGCAAAATTTTAACCAGAAGATTTTAAAATTTAGCATAAATTAAAAAAATTTTAAAAAGAAAAGTTAGAAAACATCATATAATCCGATAGATAGAAAAATAATCTCTCACTAGGGTTCACATAATACCATAACCTAGGATATCATAAAAGCGGAAATAAGACAGTCTTCAAATTATTAAATTACCTTTTGATTTTCTTATTAAATACAATAATTGAGCTTTGTGCTGCATATATTCATTCTTTTACCTCAGATATTGTGTAAATATCTTCTTCTGTAAAGTAACCACACAATAATTGTAGTATTTCAGAATGACAATAACTAATGCTTTTCAATGTTTAGCTACATGAAACTGTCTGAGGTGTTATCATTATGCAGAACTCTTGAAAACCTCGGTTAACTATTCAATAATTGGCACTTTGACCCACTATCAAGACTAAAAATGAAATAAAATTCTAAGTGAAAAAAGAGACAGGTCACAATTACAGATCATTAAAAAAGAGTGGGTGTGGCTTGGCTAACCACAAAGGATCACATAGTTTGGTTTTCTAGGGACTTCAGCTTGGGAAAACTGTAGATTGCCAGAGAGAGATGGCTACAGGAGGCATATCCTTAGAAAGAGCTTGGATTCAGTAGCAGAAACATCTCCACAAATCCAAATTTTCAGAAGTCATAGACAAAAAAAAACCAAAACCAAAACCCATTGAGAAGTTAAAATTTTGATAAAATGCTGGGGATTACTGAGATTTTTATAGCTCTAGTAGTGTGTCTCCTGATTTTGCAGTTCCTCAAGCTGCAGTGGATGCGTACCCAGCTTCCTCCAGGACCAGCTCCTCTCCCCATCATCGGAAATTTGTGGCTGCTGGACTTCAAACTGCGCCGAGAAACTCTCAGCAAGGTATTTCTTTATCTCTGTGGCTACAATCAGTCTGAATCTATTTTAACTTAAATGGTGCATTGCACAGGAACAGCCTAAAACACTATTTTTTTAAACCTCAAGTTTGATTACCAGCCAGTTTCAAAGACTCTGAGGACCCTGCAGTACTAAAAAGATTTCTGAGTAATAAATATCACCATTGCTTTAATCCTTGCTATTTTCTCTCTTTTGGTTACATTCTCACAGCACTGTCATAGAATGGCATTTCATTGGCAGTTTCGTTCTGTTTCTGTGTTATATCCAGCCCTGTAAGCCACTTCTAGCAGAGCTTTCCTTTCCTGACACCAATGTCACTGGAACATCTCCATTAGAACACCAAACATGTACCCTAAACAGACAATTTTAACCTGTTTTTACAGCAAAAATATTTCTTATCTGCCATAAACAGGTTACTGCTAAACAAACAGGAAAATCTGATTGCTATTATGTTCACAACACAACCAATCAAAACTATTTTTAAAAAGTAAGGAATCTGCTTCCCACTATTAGAAGGAAAAATATAAGCATGATGTGAGGAATGACAACAGAGGAAAATAAGAAAAATCCTGCAGAAGCAATAACAAAGAAAGCAAGAACATTTCTTTGCTTTCTTTGTGAGCTAGAGACAATACCATTATTTTGGTCCATTAATAAAATAAAGAGAAAAGCTCTGGGATTTTGCCTGTAACAATTTGTTCTTTGATTCATAACTAACAAAGTAACCTGCTGGTTTTCTTTCTGTGAAATTTACAGAGGTGTTCTTCTGAGAGATGTCCTTAGCACCTATTCCATAAAGAACAATTACCTTCTGTTCCCAAAGCACATTAATAACAGAAAGATAATATTTTTTTCTAAAACCTGAAATTCAATTTGATGCCAACAAATGGGTTTAGTTACAACTACAGAAAACTCCTAAATAAATTGATATTTTAGTGCATGCTTTCCCTGGTTTATAGTTACAAATTTCCTGTTATCAACTCTTCAGTTGACCAACATCTATGGAAACATCTACACACTGTGGATGGGACAGACTCCTCTGGTTGTGCTGAATGGATACAAAGCAGTAAAAGATGGCATTGTCACCCACTCAGAAGAAGTTTCTGGAAGACCTCTCACCCCTTTCTACAGGGATATGATGGGCGAGAAAGGTACAAAGTGTTATATAAGAATGAGCTAGAACAAGGCATAAAGAAGGAAGATGTTTTCTTGTGCACACACATCAGTCACTGCTGTACCAGGGCATAACTGGGCTCTCACTGAAAAAATGTTTCATGCAGTGCTAAGCATGTTAAGGAAAAAGCAAAAATTTATAGTCTTAAAAGGACATCACTCAGCCTTTTTCCTTCCCAATAAATCCAAAGGAATACTTGCCTGGAGAAGCTGCCCTTCAATTGTATCACTTTTAAACCAGGAGACTGCTCATGTAGAAGATATTTATAGACAAAGCTGTTCAGTCCCCACCAAAACCCACTCAGCTTCCAAGCACACATTTAAGAGCAGCTGGGTGTCATAAAATCCTCAGAGACAAAAACTCAGCTTCTAAAATCTAAAATCAGTGTATCTTGTTAGTGAAATCTAAATCGAAATTTGCCTGTTGCAGTGAAAGGATTTCCTCTCCCAGCAATGAACTAAATGTTTGTGTATTTTTCAGGTATTTTCCTGACAAATGGCCACACCTGGAAGCAGCAGAGACGCTTTGGCATGACAATTATAAGAAGTCTGGCACTTGGTAAGAACAATTTGGAGCATCAAATTCAAAGAGAGGCCTGTCACCTTGTGGATATCTTCAAAAATACAGAAGGTAAATTACAGAAGAAGAACACTTATAGCTTTTTCTGAAATATCAGGGCTGGTAAAAGTTTCACAGTACATTTTTACAAGTAATATAGATATTGTCGATATTAGTAGAACTTTCACTGGCTTCTTAACTGCATTCTTTGCAAAAAATGTTTTGTCTGCACAACAGGCAATATAAAACTGTTTATTTTTAAATAAAGAAAGTTTAAAAAATGTTTATTATCAGCACAGCTGGTAATTATTCTTACACTCAAGGAGTCTAGAAAAACCCTCCTTAAAGTACACAACGTATGACCTGCTGGAAGTCATTCTAGGACAGCAGACTTTCAGGATTTGGCAGAGAAAGAACCCCAAAACAAGGAATGTATCGTTCAGTTATCCAAGAAAATCTTCTTTTCAAGGTTTGGATGAAATAGAAACCAATAGAATTTTAGCAAGCTGCCAGAATAAAGCAATTAAATATAAATATTCTGAGCAGCCAAATCCCTCACCCACATCTTGTTCCATGTGAAAACACAGAGAGGTTGCCTGAGGTCTCTCTCTCTAACTCTCCTTGGACAAGGCCCACCTCTTTTCTGAGAGCAACATTCACACATCTTTAAAATGTAGGAGATGAAAAAATCATCCACCTCAAGTTCCTGTACAGCCCAAAGCTTTACCTACCATGCAATCCCTTCTCAATTTTAAACTCAGTAAATGTGTTTACTCTTTCCAAGAACAACCAAGAGCATTGGACCAAAGTCAGGGATGTATTTTCCATAGAGACATACTTCAAAGGTTGTCCTTGCCATTGAAATGTGTATTTAATTTATATTTTTCTGGATTTAATCCTTTTCAGTGGGAGATGTATTCCACCATATTATATGAGCTTTGCCTTCTCAGTCTGTGGAAAAAAAAATACATCTATGGTTGGATTGTTAAGCTGATACTCGAAAACCAAAAAGAGATAAGTCATTTCAACAGAACTAAGAAATGAAAACTCAAGATTTTTGGTGGTTTTTTTTTTTTTTTTTTTTTTTTGGAAGAGGGGTGAGGATTGTTTGTTTTGTTTTTTAACTGCAAAACTTAAATATCTACCTCCATATTTGAAGGTATATGCTCTAATTAATTGCTTGTGTTCCCACACAACCCAGACCACTAGTCAAAGAAGGGAAGAGACTTTGTCTTCTCAAAACTGATTACCACTGTATTTTTTAAGAGTAAAGAGCAGATTGAAAATTAAGATTCCATGCACTTACAATTCATTCAGTTAATATGTACCAAACTAGGCTTCACTTACGTGAAGTTTTTCTAAAAATAGTCTGATCCCTTGTTGTTTTTACCGTTTAAAAAAATAAGTCTTCCTCGTTTTTCTTGCTGTAGCCCATTCAGAAGTTCTCACAGCACCTCCCATATTCACAGGCAAACCTTTTGACCCCCACACTTCCATCGTCCGTGCAATTGCAAATATCATTTGTGCTGTTGTTTTCGGTCATTGCTTCTCCAGTGAGGATGAATCTTTCAGCAAACTCATCAAAGCTATTTATTCTGTGATCTACTTTCAAGGTACTATCTGGGGCAGGGTAAGAACCTACTTTTCTTATTCCTTAAGGTGCATTTTACAAGCAAAAAGAAATTAAAAGTCAGAGACAATTATTCACAAACATTTTCATTTCCAAATATACCATTGTTCTACAAGCCACAGTGAAGTAATAAATCAATACATACTTGGTATATGTAAATATTTGCTTCTAATTCTTCTTTATGTCTGTAAATCACATCCTAAAATTAAAATTCTAGATCATCACTGCTTTTCACAGATTTCCAATGAGCAATTATTTGCAGAATACTGTGTATTTAAGAGTCTTAGTTCTTAAAATGAAAGCAGCTTCTAAAATTTCACTTTCATTTAGTCTTGCAAATCTAAAAAGGCAGTTAATAAGAACTAAATGTTCAAATTGCTGCTCTTGTGAAAAGAAATCTTGTTTCAATTCATATTACCATCAAGATCTCAGTTATTCTGAGCTTTCTATAAAAAGATACAGGTTAAAAATTCATCACACTAAGAAGAATATGTTTTAAGTTCTTTAAACCCTAGCTATTGTTTAATTTGTGCAGATTTTGGCACACTGGTATTGTAAAAGACTATCAGGTTCCTCATAAAGGGACGCCTAAAAAAACAAAAAAAAATAAACCAAAAAAGAATTCAAGGTTGAGAAAAAAATCTGTTTGTGAGTCAGATTCAGCACTCAATTACTCACCCATTTTCAGAACCCCTGTTACATTATTAAGTATTGATCCAAAAAGTAAAATATAATCATGTTCCACTATTTAATCTCTCTTACTTGTGTCTGCTGCCTCTCATCCCAATTTGGTTGCCCACATGTTGCAGTGACTTGACAATAATCAGGAAATCAGAGCTGGGATCTGACCCTCTTTGCTTTCTGTTTAACACCACAGCTGTACGATGCTTTCCCACGGCTCATGCACCATCTCCCAGGGCCTCACCAGGAGGTGTTTGCATACAACAACTTCATGCACAGATTAGTCATGGAGGAGGTCCAGGCTCATGAGAGACAGAACACAGGTGATCCACAGGACCTCATTGATTTCTACCTGGCTCAAATAACAAAAGTAAGCATCTGTTTATCACACTCTCCCTTCCGTGGCTTCAATGCCTATTACAAACACTTGCTGTTCCAATAAGTGCCAAAGGATTTTTACATGCACATTCTGTTTGTGCAGCACTGAAGGTGTTTGATTTGATGGGCTGCTCACTGTTATCATCAAACAATGACAGTTTCTATGTGACTGGTGAAATATCTGAAATTTCTATTTCATAGTCTTCTTGTGAATATGCCCTACAGACCAAGGATGACCCTACTTCTACATTCAACAAAGAAAATATGGTTCAGACTGTGGTTGATCTGTTGCTGGGAGGGACAGAAACAACAAGCACCACCCTTCTTTGGGCACTGCTCTACATGGTACAATACCCAGAAATACAAGGTGAGCAAAAGCACCAACATAGAACATCATCAGTGTAAGTATTAGCCCAATCACTTGCAAGACATCAAAAAAACCTTAGCTGTGCACATGAATGGTGGTATATCAGCAACTGAGATCAAGAAAATGGAAGGTCAATAAATGAAACACGCATGTGCTTCCCCATCTGGTTCACCAGCAACACCAGCAGAAATTAGTAGTAGGCACAGTTTTACCTCACTAGAAGGGGTTGGCAAGACAGAATAACAAGCTAAAGATGTTTCATATGCAACCTAGTCTCCTCCTAACCTTCTAAGCAGAAAAGTTTTTGAAGATGCCTGATCTGATACATATTTATAAACAACAGAAATTATACCTGTCATTTCAAATTTTAATCTATTTTTTGAAACACAGAATTGTACTATCCTAGGTGTCTCATTTGAGACATCATCCTGTGATTCAGGGAGATACACTTCCTTGATCAACAGAAACCTACACAGCAGTCAAACCACACGCCAACTCATCTCACAGCAACATAATTTCTTTTATTTCCCTCAGACAGAACATTCTCACACAAAAATCTGCTGGAAATAAAGGAGGGAGGAAGGGGAGGTACAGAATGGGAAATGAAATTATTTTCATTTGTCTGCAGAAAAGGTTCAGAGGGAGATAGAGGCTGTTGTGGAACCCTCCCATGTCATCAGCTACGAGGACCGTAAGAAGCTGCCCTACACAAACGCTGTGATCCACGAGGCTCTGCGCTACAGCAACGTCACCTCCGTCGGGGTCCCTCGACAGTGCCTGAGGAGCACAACTCTGCTGGGCTTTCACATTAAAAAGGTACAGAGGATACCCCCCTGTTTCTTACATCTTCGAGCTGTTAATATTTGCCATTTATATGGCATAGAGAGAAGGAAAATCTACGGAAAATCAGATCTCTGCTGCTTCTTGCAGGGCACGCTTGTGTTGCCAAATCTGCACTCTGTGGTGTATGACACTGAGCACTGGGCAACCCCTTGGAAGTTCAACCCAGATCATTTCCTAGATTTGGATGGCAACTTTGTGAACAAAGAGGCATTCTTACCTTTCTCAGCAGGTAACACCGTGACCTTGAATATTCCTGCTTGCTCTGTTTTGCAGCAAGATTAAAAATACTATTTCTAAGATCTAAAATATTAAAAATATACATTTATAAAAATGTATTTGACTAGATTGACTATTTGACTGATTTCAAATATTTAAAGTCAGGGCTTTGCTGTAAGAGCCACGAGTATTGTGTATTTTGTATTTTTCATATATTTAAACAGAGAATAAGTATGGCTGGGAGACACAATGCTCTTTCCTTGGCATATGCAGAGTTCCTACCATAAGGATATCTGAGCTTCTTATCTCCTAATGTGTTAAATCAAGATAATTCTCTGTTAAATCAATGTAATTCCCCTAAGTCAGGAAATTTATTTATTTTCACCTTACAAAAAGGAAGGCCAGTGACAAAAGAAATGTGATCTTTCAAAACATACAGAGAAAATCTATGAAGAAGTAGGAAACCAAACCTCAGTCTCCCAAATCCTACATTAATAGTCTTGCACCATGTTTTTTTGTATCTGTAGAAAACTAGCAAAATCCAGTAGATTTTGTAGGTTTTCAGTAGAATATTATTAGGTAACCAAAAAAAGAATTTAACTTTTCAAAAGCATATTACAATGCACAACTTAACTAACTTGCAGTGCAAAATGCAGGGATTCAAAGATATGGAGGGTTTAAAAGAGGGGGGAAGAGTGAAAAGCAGTATAAAGCAACTCTAGTGAGTTTCTCTAGTCTACTGGTTTCTCCAACAAACTGATTATGAAAAACAGCAGCACAAAAGAGGAAAGTGGTATCATCACTAAAAATTCACAATAAAACTACTGGGAAACAGCTGACAGGTTTTTTGTGTTACTGTGACATTATACTACTACACACTTCTTGTAGAGAAATAGCAAAAAGCATACTGAGTAACACATGGTCAGATTAAATGTAGTAAACCCAGATTTTTTTTTAATTGTCTACATCGTCTGTAAATCCTAAAATCATCTTTGCAAAACAGGTATTTATCATCTTACCTTCTTCACTCACCAAATGTCTATGAATTGAGACAACTAATTTGGGCTCCCATTTTAACTGTAGCGTAGGACTATTTCTTTAACTTGCTCTGGTTGTTTTCTGTTTATGTAATCTGAGTATTTATATATCCTGAATACCAATCTTTGGGGTTTTTAGCCTGGAATATATGGATGTCCTGAAATATCCTGTGTAAACAATATGCCAAAATGAGTCACTGAGTCTATATATCACTGCACACTTCACTCCCTTAGCTCACACACCTGCCTCTGACAGTGTTAGGGCTACAAGGACCCAACATACCCTTCTGAATTTCTGTTACAGAAATCCTGATTACATCCTTCTCCTTGGCTTCAGAACTGCATCCCACAATGCTCCAGCCCTCCCTTCTTAACAACCAAAACAAGACTCTGAAATATATGAAGCTTTTTTAAATTGGGGTTAGCTAAGAAGCAATTCATGGCTCTCACAAAAAGAATCAACAATGGAAAGGGAGAATTGCATACATGGTTCCAGGGGTGAAAAAAGATTAAACCCAATCAAAACACCAAATCAAACACTTGACAGAGGTGCACAGTTTCTCAGTTAAATGTTTCCCCACCCTCCTCCTAAAGCATCTTCTGTCCTTACAGAAGGAAATAGGAGATAATTATCTTACATGAATAGAATTTATGGAACTCAAGTAGAATTTTATGCAAAGTTCTTTTACAGAATTTAAGTTTACTCAACCAACTCTTTTGATTTTCCTCTGCAGGGCACCGTGTATGTTTGGGGGAACGGATGGCACGAGTTGAACTGTTCATCTTCTTTACCAATCTCCTTCGGGCATTTACATTCCAGCTCCCTGAGGGGGTGAAGGAAATCAATCTGGAGTACATTTTGGGTGCAATACTGCAGCCACATCCATATGAAATCTGTGCTATTCCACGCTAGTCTGCAACACACTAAAATGCTGAGAGACTTGAACCTGTTAGTAAGTGCAGATCCTTTAAAAATATGCTTCACTATCTTAATTCTCATCTACTGAACTTTCTGAAATGGAAGTCTACTTGCCAAACTCGCATAATTGAGTCTTAGATATACACAAACACACACTATTTCCAAATAAATGTATTTTCACACTCACAGTAGCATTGAATTAGCTGTAGGATGCTAGAGAAGTGGCCTGTATCAAGTAGTTTCCTGCATGTGTGCTCTGTCAGGTATCACACTCTTAAAATGGGACAACTGTTCAGTTAGGATGCTTGAGTAAAATTTTCTTCAGCAAGCTGTTCCTCTTCTGAGTTCACAGGTCTTTTCTTAGCTCTTCTTCACACACTTAGTGTTGATTCCTTTGCCTTTCACACTCCCACAAAGCATTATATAGTGTAGCATAAACATCACACACACAAAAATGATTGTAGTAGAGGGCCTCTCATAACCACAGCCCATTTAGGAAATCCTTACATCTTTTTTTTACTTCCTCAGTATCCAATTTCTATTTCACCACAACTCAGGTCCATGCACTTTCACAAACTTTTCCTTCTATTTAGAAACACTGTTGTATGATCCAATAATTTCCTATTTAAAGAGAAAGGAACAGCTTTTCAAGAAATTAAGAAAATAAACCAAGATGTCAAGAGGTGTTTTAGTAGGTACATTAGAGATTTATTACTCATGGTATTTTGTTTTGTTGTTTTTCCACATCAACAGATGTGGAAGGTTTTGACCATTTAAAATTCAGCTGAAAGCATCCTAAGTCCTTTCAATTTTCAAAGTTCATCAGGAGCTAGCAGAAATTATGACAGGATGTAGTTAAAAGCAAAAGCAAAATTCTACATATTTCTGGGACATAAAACTAATGGAAAACTAGATTGTCTTTGCAAGTATTTCCAATTATTCCCTTCCACTAAGTGAAATCCCAGGGTTCACATGGTAAAACACATGGTAATGTTTGCTACCACAGAACAAATGCATACTTGACATCATTGAAATATTTCACTTTTTAAATAAAAGCCATTTTAAAACTTTCAATGTCACTTTATTTTCATTGAGGAAAATATAACATTTAAAAAATCCAGATTGAATAAGAAACACTTTCAAACATAAATTAAGAAAAAACTTTTAAACTGCACATTTCTTGCAGCAAGGGCAGCTCTTCCATAAAACACATTCTTACAGATTTACAAAAGCAGTCTGACAGGACAGTTCAAAAGCTTTCAAGTCTTGTCTTTTTTTTATTTCTGGCATTCACTAAAGAAAAACTCACCAAAAAAAATTCCTTTGAACCCACCATCTGCTTGGTTCCATTGAGGGCCCAAGGTAAAGTGCTCAGCAGCAGGACTGGCAGTGTCAGATACAAACTTGGACTTTTCCTATTCCAGTATATTTTTGATGGTTCTTGAGGTATACTCTACCTAAAAAAAAATACTCCAGTTTTTCTTCTATGTTCACCATCCCTTTGGTCACATGAAGTTATTCTGTCAGGTTGATCCCCCCCCCGCAATAAAATATTATTTTGCAATCATAGAATGGTTGGAAGGGACCTTAAAGATCATCTTGTTCCAATCCCCCTGCCAAGGGCAGGGATACATTCCATGAGACCAGGGTGATCAGGGCTCCATCCAACCTGGCCTTACATGTAAGTTTTATGGTTTTCTTCCAAAATCATAGCTTGGGTTAAAACATGCACGTGTTCTTCACCTGTATTTTTGAAGAACTGAGGTACATGATAATTTGCTGTACAATGCTCCTTCTAAAAATGTGGGAAGACCAAATATTCAGAGTGTTCATGATTAAGAGGTATTTTTCACAAAGAAGTCGTTACAGGCCTGGCAGTTGGTACCAGTGAAAAACAGCTGGGCTAAGAGCATCTTGTTATTCCATTTAAAACTGAGAAGAGCAAGAGATGAGGCATTCTCCTTGGCTTCCTGATGTTTCTTGAAAAGACAGTGTCAGAATTCCACACTACCTTTTCATCACAGTTGTAAAGGAAACCTATAAGAAAATGTGCAGAGAAAAAAGCTATTTCATCTGGGGTTTTTTTGTAAAGAAGGAATTCAAGTGAATCAGAGAAAAAAAAATTTAGAAACTAAGGTCAAAATGCAAGCTTTTCATCTGAAACATCCTTTAAAAAATAAAAACCTTTAAAACTCGTAAATCCCATCACTTCAGTAACTAGAGAACATACTCAAACTTTTAGAAAAATACACTGACATCCAGCTCTGCTGTTGTTACACATCTTTTAGAAATCACTAGCCCAAAGCAAGGCAGACTGCCTGGAACCCTCAGGAGCTAAACCACTGAAAGTTTTAAGTCCAGTCTTTAGAAATGCCCAGATTGTTGAAGGTTAAATTCAGACATTAATTTCTCCCACTGATAAGAAAAATATTACTGCAATTTTCAGATTCTTGAAGCTGTTCTGAAAAATCTAAATGGTTTGTTTCTTTGATTCTGTTTCAATAAATAATATAAAGAAACATAAGTTTGAATAGATTCCTTTTGATATAATGGCCTTGCAATATTTTGTTCTCAAAACAATGGTAACAAAGGCCCTTCATTACACAGTTCAGCTCCTAAAAATTAAAGTAACAGGAACCATATGGAAAGTACACACAGGCCTGTGACCACTTTGTGAAGCACACAAAATCCATACAGTTTGTGTGGTTTTAAGAAAAAAATGTAATCACTGGTCAACATGGTCCACATTCAGAAAACGAGTAAGCTAATTCTAAATTTGGGTGAAGAATTTTTCCTACAATTTTTGTTTTGTTCAAACTTCAAAGGGAAAGACCCAAGTATCTAGATGGTCTGGTTCCATCTAATAAGCAGGGTGTTATCAAGGACATGTTTTGATCCACTAACCAAATCATGTTCAAGCCACTGTTAAAATAATACTTTATTTTTTAATTAAAAACATTTTAACCAAAGTTCTCCTCTGCACCCAATAAAAACACCATAAGTATTAGTTACTCAGTATTCACATCCAACCCTTTGATACTACATGCCTATCTGATCAAGCAAAACAAAACCAGAACCTGAAACAGTTGTCATTAACTTGATCAAAACAACTTGCACTCCGGGAGGGATTATAATGGTGGGATGCTGTATGGTCTGACTGTAGGGAAACAAATAAAAACCTAATCTTCTCATTGTGCTGTGCTTTCCTAAGTCTTTACAACACTATAACATCATTAGAATTTCAGAATCGCAATACAGAGGATACCAAATATCAAAACAAATCAGATGGAGGAAGGATATAATATATAGTTAAAACAAGCAGATCTGTGGTGACACCAAGAATGAATACATCAAAATATATCACTTACTTCTTGTAATACTTGTCCAAGTGTCTCCTGGCTGTGAATGCGCTTCCTGTTGAAAACCCAAACCACACTTATTTCTGCACAAAGCATTGGGAATCTTGCCAATATCAAGTATTTATCCAGAGAAGATATATCAGGCTTTGTTCCACATCCTTTCCCTTAGCAAATCATTCTGCAACTCTATTGAGTCTTACTGCAGTCTTATGGAATTTACAATTCTGATTCAGAGCTGTTGTTATTCACATCATAGTCAGGAACTACCTGGAATAAGGCCGGCTACTCATTGCATTTTCTCAAAAACACCTCTGAATTTTAAAAGGCATTGGTAACTTTCAGCCTAAATCCTAACACTGATGATTAATTAATTACTTAAGTAATTAATTTTTTAAGTGTCATCTCCTCCAGCAAGAGACATCTGATAGTCAACAAGTGATACAAGAAGATTTAACAAATGCTACCTTCTTTAGTCAATCTTCCAACATAAACAAAGTAGTAAGCAGTGCAGGCAAACAACAAAAATACAAAGACTTCACAAAAAGTTTCCATCAAGAGAACATGTTACTGCCTATTGAAAATATGCAGTCATTTCCATGCATCCTGTAATACATGCACTAAAAAGACTAGAAAAGCAAATAAAAGGCAACATAATTTTACCTGTCTATTTTGGTTGCTATGACCACTGTAAAACTGCCCTCTGTATTGGGCAAATATGTAGAAGGTATAATGACATAACTTCCTGCAGGAAGCCTACAAAGTCTGCTGACTTCCTGGGAATAGCAGTGAGGAACACAGCTCACCAGTGGCTCCAAGTGTATAAAAGAAGTAGTTTGTGGTTTCCAACTGCTGTTAGGCACCTGCAAAAAAGAATGCAAACATGCCTACTGTTTCATCTGTTTCAGTCTCAAAAAGTTTCATTCCTAGGACACCACAGTGTGATATGGTCCATCTTTATTCCAAATACTCACTCTGCTGTACAGAGCTAGAGAGAAGAAGAATGGAAAAGCTTGCAGAAAACCCAGATGGCAGTACTAAGAACAGATGAATCATTCCTAGCCTGTTTGTAAACAATGCATAGAACCCACTACTCACACAGCTCTGTTTTCTAACCTCACTCTTCCCTGCTGCAGCCTAAAGCACTTGTTTTCTGCCTCAGGGATCTGCTGAACAGACTGTGTCCTTCCTATATCTAGTAGTCGTTCCTGTACTAAAAAGTCATATTAGACTTCATCTCAGTCTCCTCTAGGAATGTACAAAATGCCAATCTTTCTTCACATATTGTGTACTTCAAGTTTTATGGTTACTTCTGGTGCCCAACTCCAGACTTTTCACTTCAACACCACCTTTTTTTTGAAGCATGTTTTCTAAAAATAAAGCTACCTTTCTCTGCAAAATAGGTACTTAAGCAGAAGCTTCTCTGGTTACATTTATGCAGTTGAACACTGGCACACACATGTTGAATCTGTAGCTATCCATATCAAATCAAATCCTGTTTTGTTTCTGATCACCTGCTCAAGATATCACAGTCCCTTTGATCCAATATCATTTGCCTACAGACATTTAATTATTAGACACAGAGAAAGTAAGTTTTTGTGATGAATTACTAAAAAGTCTGTTCCTCAATTACTAGGGCACAAAGAATTCTTTGCAAATCCTCAAAAGAGTTCATCATTGCTAAAACTAATTCAGAACCTTGTAAGAATTCAGTGGAACCAATTATCTGGTTACTATGCTACGTAACTACCTATGTTATTCTATCTTTCATGGGCATTACTTCCCAGAGTCAGCCTGTGTTTCTCCCAGAAGCAGCAAGACCCTTGCAAACTGCAAGGAGCCCTGTGCTGCCAGGCTAACCTTCACCCTTGGCAAACAAGCAATCAAACTGACCAGAAGCCTTACCTGGAAAATATGGAAACCTATAGGACAACACTTGCTGTCCAGGCAGTGCTGACGGAGGGTGACTTTCACACTGCTTTTCTCTGGTCCTGCAGGAATGGAGAGGGGAAAGCAGGGATTGGTATGGAAGGAGGGGAAGTTCCTGCTACCTCCAGCATTTAGCCCATTCTTCCAGCATCCATGCAGCTGCACTGTCTCCCATTCGCCAGCTGGGAGTTCTTCACAGAGGGCAGCCTCCATGGGTGGTGGCTTTAGTTCACTATTAAACATAAGAGAGAAAAGAAACAAAAATGTATAAAACACATACTACCAGAATATAAACAAGTCTGACCAGCTTTTAAACAGCTGCCAACACTACATTTTGCCTCTGCATATAGCATTAAGCTGCAGTTTAGAGTGAAGATGCTACTTCTTGTTAGTATTTTAACAAGAGGTAGTAGCAGCTTCATGACAAAAATAAGGAACTGGGAAACTTGCATGAATTCAAAGACAATACAATGCTGTTATACAGCACTCTGCACAGTTCTTCAAAATATTTTGGACATTCCCACTTACTGCTACACTTGTATTTATGTCAACAAATTTAAGAAACGTTCTGGTTTGTTTTAAACCTACCTGAGAGAGATCCTTCCCGTTGAAAATACGCGAAGCAAGAAATTCCCTACTGCATCTTTCAGAAAAGTGCTGGGAACAACAAGATAAAAGCCAGGTGAAAGGTCACAGCACACATGGACTTCTCTATCGTAGGAATGGCAGACAGTACCTACAACTGGAGGAGCAGAGAGGGTCTTTGGAAGGTTAAATCGTTTCTTCTCCACCTAGAATAGATGCATAATGATGTGTGGTGGTTTAGGAAAAATTAGTAGCTTGTAAAAAAACTAAAAACCATAAAATATTGTTTTAAATATTTTTAAACATGCATAAGTTTACAAATAAAACAAAGGCAAAAGTATCAGCAGATGACCTGAACATCAAAGAGAAGTAGGAAGAGTTAATATTCAGGAGTAAATTTAGGAATGGCTTCAAGTAATCAGCCCAAAATGTCATGCACTAGTTTGGAACAATCTCAAGTGCTCAGTGACAAGAAGAAAGTACTAGTCCAGTAATAGTTTGTTTAGACAGTAACTGTGAGATAAACAGAACCATTCCAGCATAAACCAGAGACAGAAAATTTGTGACCAGTTGAATCATATCACTGGCATGGAAAATTAATGACTTTACTCAAATATTTCAGTAATGCTTTTAAACTTCTATTTGCAAAGAGAAAAATGTCACTTTTGTATTACCTTCCAGACATGTAATCCCACAGCCTGGTAATTCTTCCCCTGTATGCCCTCAGTCAAGGATGGATTTTCCTCTGCTAGGCGGGTTGGATGTTGAATCCTTCCAGCCCAGTCAGTGCTGTATTTCCTGTGTTTCTGCAGCAGAGCAATGCACACCTCACTCGACTCACAGACCCTCAGCCAGAACTTGGGGTTGGTGGGGAAGCTGCTGTTGTTGCGGCAGCCACCTGCAGACTGGCCTCTCACCCAGGATCCAAAGAGATTCTGAGAGTGATACAACACTTTCTCTAACAAAATAAGAAAAACATTGTGAGGATTTCAGACATGGGAAGCTGCTTAATTTTATACAACAAATATATGGCAGAGATTCCCCAGCCCAAGAAAACATGCTGTAATAGCCTTCCCCAAAGCAGAAATTCATGACCAAGATTTTGAGAGGCATAAAATCAATGTCACAGTTGGTAATGACAGACTGATGACATAATTTTTACAAGAAACTGTTACTAGAAATCTCAAGTATATATACCATTAAAAACAAAACATCACAGGGTTGTCCAGAATAACAGCCTTCTAGACAGATGACACTAATCTCTCAAGTAACTAGATTTCCTAGAAATATCAATGGTTTCTCAAAGATCTTTAATTCCTCTTGTCCTTCTGTTTTTCACTAGGGACAGAAAAGGCCAATGGATCTACTCAAGTAACTAGATTTCCTAGAAATATCAATGGTTTCTCAAAGATCTTTAATTCCTCTTGTCCTGTTTTTCAGTAGGGACAGAAAAGGCCAATGGATCTAGAGAAGAGGGGAAAACTGAAAAAGAGAAATGATGGTCTAATTGTACCCAACTTATTATTTTATACTTATATTTGCAACTCAAATAAATTCTTCCCCTTGATATAATGTTGTTTGCATAAGAAAGATGCCTTTTCATATCATACCTGTATAGAGGCTCTGAAGTTGTCCTTCCTCATTGACTGGAAAGCCCACAGTAATCTCATCAAATTCCCTGAAAAATTCCTCTTCATCAACCCAGAATTCTCCTTCTTGGATCTGTGAGAGGAGTTCTGAAGCAATTACTGGATCTAGCTGGTTCCATCCTTGACCACTGCACATAAGACAGAAGTTAACATTCAGCTCTTTGCCCAGCAGAGTTCAAGAACAATGTTCTACTAAATATCTCATGAAGCAGGACAGCAAGAAGAGATTTCTTCATTTTATTGTGGAATAATTGCATTGAAAATTTCTCTGCACATTGCTGGACAGGGAGAGGGATCATAGGAAACAGAAGTCATAACTTATCAAAGAAAACCTAGAAACGACCTAATACTACACTGGATGCAGAACAGACTTCTGGGTGAAATAGGTGTTTTGTTTACAACAGCTACTACAGTAAGAAGTCTGAGAGCAAAATAAACAGTTTTAACTGTTGTTTAAACAGGAGGCAAAAATGTAAAACAAGTTGCACTGTCATTGTTCTGAAAGAATTTTAATGCTTTACAACAAAAACGGCCATTTGTATTAAGCAACTGACTACCCCCATGAATCTGCTTGCCAAGTCTTGATAAACCAAAAATTTTAGCGCCTCATTATTTAGGGCTCATTAAAAACTAGTAGTTTCAACATTTTCGATTGTTTCACTAGCAAAAAAGAACAGTTCTGCACTTGAATAAAACAGGGTTTTAAGGCCATCCAATGAAATCCCATCCTCTTGCAACTATATGGCAACTTACTCTTTGACAAAGAAACTACAAGAGACCAAGTGTATAACCAAAACACTCTCAAAAGAAAAATTATCAGCTGAAGTCTCAATAAATGCAATTAAATTATCTTTCTAACTCAAGGAAGAAAAATATTTCTACAAAAATGTTCATGAACATCACCATATTGTTAACATATTTTAGTGCTGAACGCTTGGTGCTTAGGTCAAGAATTGCATGTTCTTTTGTATAGTCAAAACATGCTAACATTTTCCAAAATAAGCAAGTAGGGTCTGCCCTTTCATTCTTCTTACTTTTCTATTTCAGCTGCTACACATATTTCTGAAAATCCTTTAAAACAGTTCTCTTATTTATTTCTACTTGATATGGACTCAGATCCAGCTACTCCTACTTCAATCTACAGAAATGTGATCACACAAGCAACAAGCATAAGCATTCTTCCTTCTGCTATAGTTTTATAATTGCTTTTTTGCTTGTTTTCTGCAGCTGAGCCAGGAACAAATGAGGAGAGGCAAGTAAAGCTGAATGACTGCAAGAAACAAACATGATCAAAGATACTTAGATCAATGGCAGAACAACAGAGAAACACCAAAATCAGAAACAGAAAGGCAACACCTTCAGTTTGTCTCTATAAAAAGATACGACGATTTGATAAACAAAAAAGTTATTAAAAAAATTAGATTGCAAGAACTAGGAGATCAAATTTACTAGACTCAGAAGCAATGAGCTGTGTAAACTCCCAGCTCTCTAAAGAATTGCACACACACTGAAGCCTATTCTCCTCTGCTAGAGACTATTAGCAGTGTTTGCCTATGCAATACATAGATAAGTGGTTTTCTATAAATGGTTTTCCAAATGAACATAAAACTGCTCACCCCTCACACCAAGGCCCTTTCCAGCACCTCCTCCCCCAAGGATTTCGTATTCGTAGCAGGAAGATTTCCTTGCCTGACACTTCAGAGAGATTCAATGTGTCTATCACAATAAAGGCATGAAATTCTCCCAGTTCACTTGCACCTGAATAGAAAAAAAAATACCATTTGAAAATAAAAAAAGAATCTGTTCCATATTTTACAATAACATTAGTGAAAGAAGGCAATTTTGCAATAAAATGAAATTGGTTTTAAATCTGTATTAGATCAGCACAAAGAAACCCCAAACAGTTCATTTTAGTGACTATAAAGAAACAAAGCAACATTGCAAAGTGTATTAACTTGCTCCTTAATCTCAAGTCCCTACAAATTCACTGTGCTAAAATCAATTGAGGTTTTCAAGGTTGTTTTTGAGATGCTTTTTCAAGGGAGTGCATTCAGGGGAGGATGCATTTGTTTTTGAGAACTGACCATATTAGCGTCTAATATAAAATGCACTCCTCCAAAGGAGCCCCCATCCTGATCTCAGTAGCATCATTAAATCTTCATTTATCCAAACATTTCAAATTGTGCCATGAAACTGGCATGGTACTAGAATCAACACTTGTATTTGCTGGCTGCCTTGTGCTTTGAAGCCTGTTAATAGAGACATTTACTATCACCTTGTCTGGAGTTGAGGACTGAACAGCTTATTACACACTGTTCCTTCAGATTCATCAATCTTCTAAACACTGCCTTCTCCAAAACCATGCCAGTCTTCCCTTTCTCCACATTTTTTCCAGGGCCTTTCAGGGTCCATCTTTCAGCAATTCCTCCAGTCAGATCAACCAAAGCATCTGCCACTTGTCCTGCCCACAACTGCTCATAAGATCCATGCACTCTAAAAAATTTAAACAAAAAAATTAGAAAAAGCATGAAGAAAAAGTTTTTACACACAGCAAAACAAAAGAAACACGGTTCCTACACACTTGCAACCCCACTCTATATCACAGTAATGACTGTGCCCAACCTCATGACCCAAAGCAGGCAAGAGAAAGCACATCCTATCTTATTTATATAAAACACAACATCTAAAGAATATTTAAGCCATTGGATATTCCATTGCTTGATGGGAAGTTTCTTACATTCTATTAAAAAAACTGCTGTTGTCTAGTACTAGTCATTTGTACTCTATTATCTATGCTCTACATTATCTTTTGTGATATACTAACTGCATTGTGTATAAGTAAAAATATTTCTTCCTCTTCAATTACTCTTTATTCACTCTGCACAAATAACTAGAGCAGCACTTCCCTCAACTACCTAAGCAAAGCAAGAGACTGTCCCACCTGATGTAGCAGATGCAAAAATATAGCAGAAGAAGTCAAGACTAAAATAGAATTTTAAGACTGAAGAATAAGAGCTCTGCAGACAACAAATATTACATTTCAAACCTACAGAGAAGTTTTAACACGGCATTAGTGCTTCACAGCTTCTGCTCAATCTACAGTGAAATTACTACATAATTGAAGTCTGCCTCTGCCCTCTGCTGGCAACCACAAAATCTTCTGTTCAGATTCTTTGGGACATTAGATGTTTATCTTATCAGTGCATTTTCTCTCCAAATTGCTTTGTCTGTCTTGACAAGTTTTCTGCTGATGTGCTAGTATAAATCACTAAATAGCTGCATTTTCTTTCTAAAACAGTAAACTAACAAATTATACAAAAGAGCAGTGAAGCTCACACAACCAAAGCTTCAACTAGCACAAACTCACTAAATGTTGTTGTTTTCTATGAAAACATCTGCATGCTCTCTGCTTTTCATTGAGCTCTCATCTTCCCTAGCAAAACATCTTCCTCTAATAAATTAGGTAACTAATAGACAGAGACTTAACAAACATCATTTGAATCCTGGAAATTCGTTGCAGCTTACTTTTCACCAGAATTACCTCCCTAAGACTATCTTACTTGAGATGCAACTGGAAGCACACCTTACAGACCTACAGTTTAAAGAGTAACTTCTGCACAAGCCAGGATGGCACCACCAGCACCCACAATGCTCAGATCTGTACCCAAAGCAGCTGGGTAAAATAAGCAAGCAGAAGAAATACACCAACATTGTAGTTCTATTTCCATCAATAGCAGCGTTCACATACTTTGCATAAGCTTTTTCCAGTAGTGGAAGCCAAAACAAATCCTCTGTCTGACACTGGGAAAAGCAGAGTTTGCCCCCAAGGCAAGGCAGGCGATCATCAATGGTCACTTCTACCCAGTGGCCAAACTGCCAGACCCGGCACGTGAAGCAGCCTTGATAGGACTCGTCTGTCCAGCTGGGCTGACCTGGAGGGATCACCTGCAGGGCAAAAGCCAAAACCAAGGCAAACAATGAATTAATGAACTGCAATTTTTGTAAACAAAACTAGTTTAAAATATACTGAATTTGTATCAGGCATTTGTAACAAGCACAGAAAAAAATATGATAACAAAAACAGTGAATCTGAGCACAATGAAGGCAACACCCACATGGCAGCTTGGGACTGCAGAACAATACAAAAATGTCAATTAGGTGAAGAAAACTTCTCTCACAGGAAACTTCTCCATACCTTGTTCAGTAAGTACTTGCTCTTCTGCAAAGCTACACAGGCACACAGGAACCAACAGTCTCCCAAAATTCCTTGTTTCACTTGCACATCCTGCAGATTGTTTGAAAATAACCGAGGAGAGGAACATATGTCCTAAAATGAAAGAAGAGGAGTTAAAGCCAAACCTTGCATGACATTCTAAGGAACTCTGTGTTTCAGGGACTGGGAAGGTTTCAGAGATCTCTCATAAAATAAGGGAATTTTTAAGTCTAGAAAACTTCCCTTTCATACACAGCCTAAGTAAGAAGTAAGAAAGAAATGGCTTGTGGCAGTATTTTGCAGGTACTTCATGAATGTAAACCTAGTTCCCACATGAATTTTAGCACACAACTGTGACCATCAGGTGCAACCTTACCAAAAGGAGTAACAAGTGAAAGGTAACATAATTCATCAGCTGCTTGCTAGACTTATAATCAGCTGTGACAGGGCTGATGCTATCCATATTAAACTGCACATCCCAAGTTACAAAATTCTCAAAATTAGAACAAGGGAAAAACCTTTCCTAGGGCACAGAAAAATACATTAATTGGTAGCACAAGAGAAAATTTCAGATGCAAAATCCCAAACACTCAATCTGATCTGAAAGTGAGTTTGTGAAATGGTTCTCCTTACATATAAATACTTCAAGATATGGAAGTTAACTTATCAGTCCTCAGCAGCAATCAAGGTCTAAAGTACAAAAGCAGGAAGCTGCACACTTGACTCCATGAAATCACTTGCCAATTACACCTGATAAGCAACAGTTCTGCCAGTCCTACAGACAGCCCCAGACACTGGGGGAAAAAATACAACTCAAGACAACATGCTTTTTTCCTCCATTACATTTTTATAGCCTTTTTTCCCTTCTACACAAAGGCAGTATCATAAATACTTCACCTTAAATGGGTGTACTGCACAAATGCATTCTAGTGCTTTTAGCTCTAATACAGCTTGCTCTGCAACCCAGCTATAAGTTTAAAAGCAATACAAGTCATGACAAGTTATAAACTTGAAAATTTTCCTTTCCTGTTATCAAAGAAAGCAACCACAAAAAAAAGGAATAGACTTCAAAGAAATTCTAAAATACAACTCCTTATTTTCAAGACCGTTATGCAATATATAAAAAAATTTGGGAATGACATAATACTGTATTCTAACTTGGTATGCATATAATTTACATAATGAAACATATTTATAATAAAATATCTGAATTTCTCCTACTGCCATGAAATTTAAAAACCCTACAAGAGGATTTAAATCAAGCCTACAAACAAGCTCCTAAACTAAAAATTGTAACTCATGTATTGTTAACACTGACAAACACTGGTTTTATCACTTCTGTATTTCCAAACAAATAAGCAGAAGCAGTCATTCAATGCTAACTTGCATTTACTACCTAAAAGCCAAATTCTGCTAAAATCAGCCTTTTATACCTTAAAACTCACCTTAGGTCTCAACCAAGATATCTCTCCTCTAAACTGGGCAAGTGGGGTACAATAATTAAAAAATATGGAGGTATCACTGGCCGGAAACGTGGGGTCTGTGTAAAGGTCTCTTGCCACCATTAACTGCTTTTTTTCTCCCAGCATTTTCAACACAGCCCTAAGCAGCTTTGCCGGCTATTCCTACGACTTTAAATCGCCAGGCACCAACCTGCAACAGAAACGAGTGTTACCGGGGAATCACAACACGGAAACAAACAGGCATGGCGGATTTATTTAGGGATGGACAGCCTCCCGCTGGAACACGGAGCACCTGGAACCACCACAGCGCTGCTTCTTGCAGCACCTGACGCCACCCTGCACCGCCCGGCCTGAGGAGAAGGGGGCCCCTGAGGAGACCTGCACCCGCTTAGGTCCCTTACCCCGCTCTGCGCACATCCTCCACACAAAGCTACCCCTCCCCACCCGTTTCCTCACACCCAGCCCGAACAGGGCCCCTCCTGCCCAGCAGCCCCCCGTCCCCGCAAGAGGCGCCGGCCCGGCCGCCCCCGCTCCCGGTCCCCCCTCACCGCGGGGCGGCCCCGCCGCCATTGCCCGGGGCGGCCGTAACCCGGCAACGCCGGCACGCGCGGCCCCGCCCAGCCCGCGCATGACTGACGGCGCCGCCGGCCAATCAGCAGACGGTACTTGCGCGCGCAGCACGCGTTGGCCCCGCCCCCCGGCTGAGGGGAGCAGAGGAGTCCCCGGGGTGAGCGAGGCTCCCTGGCGGGGAATACCCGGGGAAACTGCTCGTGTGGGGCACGGGCTCCTACCGGCGGAGGAAAATTAATCCAAAGTGTTTTCATGGAGATTGTGACGGAGAAACCCAGAGAAATTGCTGGCTTTCCTGACCTCATGGCACAGATCACATTTTCGGATAGTTTAGCACCATATAGTCGTCCAAAGGGCTGAACCGTCAGAGGTGATATGTTAATTTCCATATTCTGATAGCTACCGCTGACTAGTGAAATAGAAAAGTGCCTTAAGAATACGGCCTAGCTCAGGAACAAAGAACAGAATTCAGAAATAAGGGCCGAACGAGGCCATCCTTCAGCACACCAAGGTTCTGGGTTTCAGGGCACACTGAAGGAGGCTGTTGTCTCTTCTGTGTTTGGGCCTTTCACATCAGTGTTTCTCAAGGAGCTCAGGTGTGGTCAATACAGAAGCTGCTGAGCCATTGTGGAAGGACGAGGTGTTTACCAAAAAATTTGCCATCACACTTGCTGTGATGAAGTGTTTGACTCGAAGGCCACCTGGTCCTTGGGTAGAGAGGTCATCTAAAGGAGATAGCCACACAAAACAAAGGCCTGACTGTTTTTTATCAGACATTAATGCAGAAATCCTCCTCTCAAGCCAACCTTAGCAGATGGAAATGCTCTCAGGTAGCTGCAGCCGCCGTCTATCACCCTGACATTCAGAAATAGCTTCTCTGCCCCTTGGTCATGCTCGTTGTACAGACACAAGGCTTCTCCCCTGCATACTGCAAATTTTATCAACAAACAAGACTTTTCACGTTGGAGTTTTGACCCTTTTGGGAGCAGAGGAAACATTGCTGGCAGTAAGAATAACCCTCTTGTCCACGGCTCATGCGAGGGAGCTGCAGCTGCACGGCTGCGAGTGAGCAACACAGGAGAGCTCTGTTGGGGGAGGGAAAGGGGAAGAAAAGGCCTCTGTGTCAGGAACAGTGAGGCTCTGATCTGTGTGATTTCACCCCTGCATTCTTTAGGAAAAAGCAATCACACAACTGCATAAATTCCATTAGAGGACTGATTCTAGAAATCAGGATAAATGTTGAGCTCTAACTGTAAATACAGGAGGTCCAGCCTGCAACAATTAATTAGTTAGATACCTATTTGTTTCTGAAGCTATTAGAAGAAGGAAAGATATAGCTATTATCTTGATCTCTCAGATACCTGACATGCTTTCCCTGCCCCACTGCAAGGTTGGAAAGGGGCAAATTAAAACAGTATACAACTGATAATTTTTTTTTTTTTTGTTAGCCTGAAACTCTTTGGAATGAGAGCAGCAGAGAACTTTCCCTGTTGCCTCTTGGCAACCCTGCTGGATTAAACTGTTCCTGAAAACACTGGTCTATTTAGAGAAATGTCTTGAAGATAGTATTTTAAGACTGCCTTGTTGTCAACCTGTTTCTCAGTGCACTTTAATGTAGATGCTTAATTTCTCATTGGAAAAGAATAAAGCAGACTAAGAGGGGTTGAGTCCCATTGCTATAGAAATTTAAAAGGGATTTGTGTCCAGCTTAATAACCAGCTCATTTCCATGTGAATGAAGATGATCCTTTAGAACAGTGTTTGATATTTTCATGGTTGTTTGCCAGTTTTGGGGTTTCATCAATCCCATGTTTGCTTTTTTCTCCAGCTCCCAGTGATTCAAGGACAGGAGAGAAGTAAAAGTAATCGAGCAGCAGTGGCTGGGCCCAGTGTGTGTGTTTGTTTCTGCAAATGCTGACACTGGAAGCTGTTTGCAAGGGAGCTCTTCCACTTCTCTGAATCCTGATACCAGGATTAGGAAGGCACAGCAACACTCAGCTGACAGTGATCAGAGCTGTATCAAAGGAACAGCACAGTCCTTTTGCTTAAGGGAGATTTTTGGAGTGGGTATTTGGGGGTTATAGACCTCTCTCACTACTTCAGGCACAGCTCCAAATTTTCAGCCTGGCTACCACAGCACACAAGATGTTTCACCTCAGTAAACATGATTTGGAAAAAGATCTAGTGCTCTACAAACCCCACTAATGCCATTCCATTTTTACAGAAAGACTTGTCTCTAGTATATTAGAACACCTTCCTTGTTGGCACAGAGCATATTATGTTCAACATAATCATAATTCTCTGGACAAGAAATCAGAGGTCTAAGACCTGAGTTTTCCAGTGCAGAAGGTACATGCAGGAAGAGGACTAAAGGGAAGTGTTCACACAGGCTCAAACATTTATTGCAACTAGCTAGTATCCCTCTGCATAGAGTGAAAAGTCACCTCCTGAATATGGAATAGCTTTTCTCTACCCTCCTTTATCTTCAAAAGGTTCTTATGTCCAGGTAAGAGATATGCTAACAGGTGTCCAAATTACCACTATTATTAATGGAAAAAACAGGATGAATGGACAATATTAGTTAAAAATTCTTTTAAAGTTGATGTGGAATATACAGCAGCAATTGAGGTAATTTTTGAGAAACAACGTGCAATTTCCACTTTAAAATGATATTGAAACATCATGCTCCACCCAAGCAAAATCAATACATGAAGTTGTGGAAGACACCTTGCAGCAACAGACCAATCAATGTTTTCTTTAAGAATTTAAAAGTACTTACATGACAAAGAGGTAAGTAGTTTATATGTGAGTAAGTAGTTTAACTTTCACAAAAAAAGCAGTAGTTTCCAGAGCTGGAAGATAAAAGTAGACAAATCCAAACTAGACATTATGTATGCATTTCAGGAATGCATGTAATCAACAGCTAAACCAATTTACTTGGGACTTCAACAAAATCAGTGTAAAACTGCGTCCTCACAACTGTGTCTCAGAGGACAGTGGCTTGATAAATCTCACACGGTGATTTCTAGTATGGTTTCTCTTATACATCAAGTCTGATATTGTGGTCAAAGTGGCTTTCAGCTTTTATCAAACTATAGTAAAAAATGTGAAAAGTGTGACGTGATTTTAGTGTGTTGACTGTACTGTGTTGTTCTATCTTTGGACAAACAGGGAGAGCAGACTGAAGAAGTGTACTTGACCTAAGTGAATTGTGCAGCACATGAGCTTAGATGTACAGAAGGGTCTGTGTTATCCAAAAAAGGTAATGGCAAGGTCATTGCAGGGCAAGAACATTAAAAGAGGTTTGGTTGAAACAGAATGTTTGGGATGCTTGATACAATTGTTCTTGGTTGATGGAGTTCATGGTTAAAATGTTGCAATGGAACATGACGCCAAAATTACTGATACAAGCTTAACACAGTATATTGTAGCTAACAAGAATTATATTGAATGTATCAACCAACATGGCTATGAAATGCTAAAAAATTAAGTCACAAATATTCCATTCTGTTAAACAGTTTGGCTCTTCAGACCTTTCCCACAAGTGATATTTCTAGATCCTCTGTTGCCCTGCTCAAAGCTGCAATGAAATAAAGTAATAGTTTTCATTTTCAAAATAAAAAGATAATGCAATCTCTTGACATCTGTTTGAATAAAACCAATTTGATGTCTAATCTGACTTAAATGGATCAGAAATGAATGTACCAAAGATAAGGCAAATAGTTCCTATTTGATCACAGTCTAATTTGCCTGCCAATGTGAAATCTACTACAAATCACAAGAGCAAGTAGCCTGAAGCACCAATTTATTGTCTGTCAACTAAAGGAAGGCTTATCTCCACAAACTTGCTGCCAGGTTTTTGTCTCTACAAAATAAAAAATGGACTCCTCACTCACAGGAGAAACAGAAGTACCTGGAGGTGGATGCATGGAATACATTCACGAAACCTTGCTCTGCTTCAGTGTTTCAGAAAACAAGTCCTAGATCAAAAGCCATTTGATGGGATCTCACAGAGATGAGAGCAGAAACATTAACATACATCTTGTGTTCTTTAACCAGGAAACAGTCTGTTCAGTTCAGCCAGCCCTTCCTTGCTCTGATGGGTGTCTATGAGCTAATCTGATGTATTTCAGTCAGTTGTAGTAACAATAGATAATATTAATTTTTGATTGTTTGCTTTTGCCACCTCTCCAGCACCTTCCTGTGTGGCTTTGAAAGAGCTTCCAAACTCCCTCTATGCTGCACCCCAGAAAAGAACAAAACAAAGACAATGTACCAAGTTAGCTCTTCCACACAGCTAGAGCAGGGACACCAAAAAAATGCCCAAAAGGCTGAACTTGTCACAAAGCTTAGTTTAATTTGACAATCATCATAAGGCATCCATGTAAATGAAAAATTCCCACCAGGGTAACAAACATTCTCCCACTAAATAAAATATGTTAGAACAGAGGCCTGTGATTCCAAAAAATGCTAGTGGTTCCTGGTCTCAACCAGGCTGCCACTGCTGGCAGTGGGGTCCAGGAGACACAGCACCAACAGCGGCAGCTCCAGAAGTGTAAAGTCAGCTTGTACAAATCTCTTTCAACAAAACAACAAATGAAAAGGAAAGAGATTTGTGTAGAAAACATCATTCTCCATCCTTTCTGGGAAAACAAAACAGAATTTAAAAGATAATCCCATTCAAGGAGCAAAGAGCAGAGCTTGGAGTTCTGAAGCCCAAAAATGCTGATGGCCCATTTTTAAAACTAATGAAGCACTACAGAGGCCTGAGTTTATTATTGCTTTATCCCAGTTCAGCCCAGGCTAAGGCTATGGTGAAGTCCAAATTAATTTAAAGCCAGAAAATGCAGATCCAGTAACAGCACCTAAGTCCCATCCACACATGGGTGTAAACAGATACTTTTGGTGAAGAAAACAAGGCCCTCCCAAATTTCCTCCTCTTCCTGTCTATGCAGATACTTTTGGTGAAGAAAACAAAGCCCTCCCAAATTTCCTCCTCTTCCTGTCTATGCAGATCCCCATTGCAGGGCTAAAATTTGCCCTGAAGTATAGAACAATTTCTCTCTTACATCTCTGGTTAGCTGAGTCTTTTCCAGATGTTTTGCCTTTTGTTCATACTATCCTGGTGATGCATCAGCTCAGAGATGCCTTGTGGGAGCTCACAGAGAGCACACAGGTATCCACATATTAAAAGGTTTGTGGCACAGATCTAAGAACCGTCACCTGTACCCTACAATACCCCAGGACACTTTGCCCTTGGCTTCCTGAGACCATACAGCACAGAAGGAAGACAGTATCTTCTCATCCTGCATGGCTGGCCAGTGATCCAGAGAAACAGCATGCCAGGGAAATGAAATGGCACCTTACTCCCACCATAAGTCAGAAAACAGACTTGGGTAAAGCGGGACTTAAAAGTTTCACATCAAGAAACATGGTGCTTCCCTCAGATTATTGTATGACAGGGCCACTGTTATTCAGGCAAACATTATTCAAGGCAGTAAAATCTTAGCATGGGTATTTTCATGGCTGACCTACAGGCCAAGATATGCTGGGGTTCTTAAAAAAATTACAGGTCTTGGTAATTCCTCCAAAAGGACAGAATAGAAGACACACAGAGTGCATGTGATGCATGTGCCACACATCCTGACACACGAGCAAAGGTTGCAGCTAGACTTGTCAAAACAGTTAAAAAGATTTAGGCATCCAGATAGTACCAAAATTGATGGCATTTGGGAACCTAATTTTAACGTTGAAAATTCAAGCCTACACATTTCTTTATTGCTTGTCCCATTGAGTGCAAAGGGAAAACTGAGAATAGGGTTAACTACAGAAGGATTTCAAATCCATCATAATGTTTCCCTGTTCTTTTTTATATATTTCTTAATATATTTAAAGAGCATTATTATTATTATTATTTAGCCACCTATGGGCAGGGGGGAACAGAAGCTATTAGTCTCTCATTTAAGCATTAGTCCCCTTCCTTCCAAATCACAATACCTCTGTCACAGGAAGGAGCATAACATGAAAACATGTTTGCTGCCACTAACAATTCCTGAGTCTCTCCTTTGCAGAACTTTAGCCCAAATATTAGGACAATGACAGCTTGACACATACACACTCCCCAGCAACATACACACAGCAAGTAGGACATACTCCACAGCCTCAGTGGCCTCAGACAAAAAAAAAAAAAAGAAAAAATAAGAAGAAAAAGAATACCCTCCCATCAAACAACAAATCCGAAGAAACCATCCAGAAGAGCCTCAGGAAAGGGAACTATCCACTTTCCATGGAGAAGCAACAGCCCAGGAGTCCCTGCCCAGTAAAAACTGAACCAAATATTTGTCACACAGCTGGTGGAGATCTCTGAAACCTGGCAGTATTACACACTGGATACTTGAAGGCACATTTGCTTTGTGTTTTGGGAGAGAAATCCAGTTACAACACACTGCAGCTGCAAGGCTGAGGGAAAGGAGGCAACGCTTGGTATCTTTCCTCTGTTCCTGTCCCCATTTTCAAGCTTTGTGGCTGGCATGAACTGGTGATCTAAGCAGACACGTTGACATCCCTGAGTGAAATGGCACCATTTGTGGCCTCTGAGACTTTGTCCTCAAGCACCATTGCTGGTGTGTCTGTAGTGACTGCTGTAGTGTCTATGGCAGGAAGTGGATTCAAGCCCTGGGATAAGATCTGTTGGATCGTTTTCCGCAAATTGGGGTGCAGCTGGTTTTGGGTCTGGTAAAAAATTTCTAAGGCAAAAGACTTGAGAGTGCCAGTGCAAAGGTCCTCATAAAGTGGAATTGTGTACATCCGAGACATCTACAAAAAAAGGAAAATAAGATAAAAACATTTAAATAAAAGTCAAGAAGTTCCGCTCTTCCACAGATACACTCCAACAGCCCTGAGAAACTTCAGACTGAAGACAAGCAACACATTTCTTCAAAACACAGATGAGTTTATTCTAAGTCTGATGCAAGGATTTTTATGAATGGTAATAAAAAAAAATCTGCTCTCTGAGACTGAGCTACTTCCACAAATAACAGAACTATTTTTAAAGGCCAGATAGAAGAGGCCACACTGAACACATGCATTAACCTTTTGCTCCAGCACAATAACAACTACTGAAAAGAACTTGATGAGCCCTAGCCTTGCTCGAAGTGTAAATATTCAAATAATCACATGATTTAGCAGTGCAAAACCTTGTGGTCTGGAAAAGCCAGGGCTGCTACAAAGCCATACATAAAATGCATGGGGCAGAGCTGGGACAAGGGTATTGAGTCAGGCTAGAAAAGCAGAGATTATCTGTAGGCATTTGAAATTACATCTGCCCATTCCTCCCCACCGCTAGCAGGTGAGCCATGCTCAGCCCCTTCGCAACACACCTGGGCTACACTTGGCCAGGAAGCAGAAGTTCCAAGGTCTTTCACGTCGCATGTCTCATGCACATGTCTCATGCACTGAGAGGTGCAGTGAGTTTAATCCAGCAGTTAGTACCTGGTTTTCCAAGAAGCGACGGACTTTGTAAAGGTCTGGGTAATAGTCATTTCGGACTACAATCTGCAACCAGCGGATACGGATTTCTGCATTCATGGAGTCCAGCTGAGAGGAGTAACATTCCGAGAGCTTTTTTATCACCTCTGAAGAGAGCACACACACAGGGAAAGAACTGTGACCTACTTTGTCAATTTTGAGGGTTATCAGATAATAACAACTCATCAAATCACAGGATCATAGAATCTGTTGGTCTGGGAAAGACTTTTGAAGATCACCTATTCTAATCCCTCTGTGACATGGCCAGGGACATCAACCTGACTTTACGTGAATTATAATGTCAGCCAGAGGCAGGGACCTTTAGAATTCAATCAGTTATTCCACGCATAATTTTCTACTATCCTGGAAAGAATACTCACCATGTGGCAGTGGTGATCCATCCAGCAATCTGTCCAGGAAAAGCACAGTTTGGAACGTTCTCCATTTAGTGAGGTCAACACTGCTGGCAGCAGCAACAGAGTCCAGAGGCTCTGTGGTCCAGAGTTTGAAGAGTGTCTCCACTGGTCTGGTCAGACTGGATCCCTGAGATAAGTCTGGCTCAGCTAACGGAGGTCCTGTAGCATTGAGCCAACGTTCAAACTCCAGTCCTGGAATGAGGAGTACCAAAAATGTGGAGCAGAGTTCTCTGCAGGTGGCTTGGCTGCCTCAAAGTTCAGGACCGTTTCTAGCATAGTTAAGGGAGGTTGTAACAACAGCAACCAATAGTTATAGTGACACAACAGTCTTAGCAGCCTCATTGGGATAGCCTATGGAACAGCAGGAAGAGTGCCAGCAACACTGCTCCAAACCTCACTGTGAGTTTTCTAGAGCTCAACAGTACAGTAAGTACAAGAAACACACATGATCTTAAGGCAGCCAGGCTGACAAGTACCTATGTTCAAATTATGCTCTAATATTTGTGTGCCTGCATGTCTCTCTCAGAATTTTGAGGAAGACTGACAAATTTGGAGAAAACCCATTTTATAAAAAAAAAGGAGGTGAGGGGGATGACTAAACTCCTCCTACCCACCAGTAAACCTAAGCAATTTATATTTATTTATGCAACTAATTAAAAAAAAAGTTTCTTCACAAACAGCAGAGCCTGCTTTCCAGCAGAGCTGCTCTTCTTGACCTTTTACTACCTCTGTACTTTTCTAACTCATGGCAATACTTCCAGTTCCACACCATCCACCCTAAAACTCCTACCTTCTGCATCCCCTGAGTATTAGCCAGGCAAAAATTAGCAACTTCTGTGGTTAACTCATTAGCCTATCAGTGGGCCAAATAAAACACAGAACTGCTGAGCTCATGCTGCAGCTTTCCCCACAGTAAACTCTCTCCTCTCACAGGCAGTTTCCTCTCCACAAAGCCTGCAGGCAGCAAGTATCCTTAAGAGCTCAAGTACTCTGCTGGTCTGGTTTAAACTGTCCAAGGAGCTCAACAGCTATTCACAGGGATGGACACATGGCAGGATAACATGAGTTTCATTTCTTTAAGAAAGTGAGATAATAAGCACCTGGTAGGCCACAGACCTTCCACAAATCCACCAACAGCTACAAAGAGGTGATGTAAGGGAAAGTGAAACATGCTAGAAGATATTTCACATGTATGGGTAGGATCTTGGGGAAGTTACAGTTCTCAAAGCATGTTTACTATTATTAAAATAGACAAAGTGTGTTCACCTTTTCCCTGCATTTAAGCAGGTGTAAATCTCACAAGCACTGATCATTCTGTCTGCAGAGTGAAATGCGAGTTAATGAGAAAGTTAACCAAGGGACAATCAGCTAATTAATGCCAAAATCATCAGCAATTTCAGAGGTTCTCATTCCCCAGTGTAGAGGCATAGCCACAAATTCTGTCAAGAACATCTGGTTGTTGCTGAACTATTTTGTTTGCCTTAGCATTTCCATGTGCATCCTCCAAGCCAAGCACAAAATTAATCATCCAGGTTTTCTGCAGTGCTTAGTTAACTTAGAAAATCTCCTACCTGCTTTGCTCTCAACACATTGCTCTTTCAGCTCTGGAAAAAAATTCAGGAAGGAATCCAGAAGATCTTGAGCCACAACGCTGGTAAATTTATACTTCTCAATGTAGGCCTAAAATAGTAAAATGTTCAAATTATGATTAGGAGCAAGACAGCTTCCTTTTGATGTAGAACCACTTGCATGCCACAACAATAACAACAACAAAAAAATACAAACATAAGAGTAGGAACAATTATTTGAAGGTTTAAAAAAAGATGAAGAAAAATATTCTCCCTCCTCACCCAGTTAAATAAAGAAGCACCATAACATGAAAAAAATAGAGTAGCTGCAAATACATTTGACAGCTGAGTATCATTTCATTTTCCTTTTCCAAAACGAGGCAGTAGCTGACAATTTTCTATAGGTTCTGCAACTGTGCTTCCAGGCACTGACCTGCCTCAGTACAGTAGGCTATACCCTTTGTCACCCTGGTAAAAAAACCCAACACTTCTTAGTAGTGAATCAAGTCATATCTTTCCAGTCACAGGCAAACTGTGCTGGAACAGCTTTCTAATTACTTGGAGCACAGAACAAGAGATAACAAATATATACTACTACTCTGTATCTAGCACCTCATGAGCTTAGAATCTCAGAAGTCTTGTAGAAGGATTCATGTAAGTTGATAGACAAACCCATAACTTTCCTCTATCTCTGACACACTTGTATTCAACTTTACCCTTAACAATTAGCCACCGTGAAAGAATCTGGGGAAAAAAAACCCAACAACAAAAGATCAGCTCTAAATCTCAAGAAAACACATATATACACTCACTCTTAGGAAGGAGTCAAAGTGTCTGGGGTCACCACAGAGCTGGGACAGGTAGTAAACAAAGCAGTAGCCTTTCTCATAGGTGAAGAGGTTCATTAAATTACTGGGATTTACACCTGAAAGAAGACAACATGATAAGAAACTAATGAGGAGAGTGATTTCCAGCCCTTCTGAGTTATACAGACTCCTTAGAGATCACCAAGATGAGACATAGTGACTTTAAAAAAACTAAGCTTGTTGTCAGTACATTTAAGTTACTGCAGTAAAAAAATAGATGCAGTCCAAAGACACAGCCTTCTTTTTTTTTTTAATCAGTCATTGTAAGGTAAGATTCCCAATGGAATAAGTCACACTTCAAACTAGAGGTCACTGAAAACAGATCTGGAACTTGAAAACAAATTATTTTTTTCTTTTTTCAGTGCCAGGTTCTGGGAATCACCATACCACAAATTTTCAAAGAAACCAATAAAAGGTAATCACCACTTGCTCCTTTCTTCAGGCTTTCACACATGCTTTTTCATTCCATTTGACTCCAATATCATCTCCACTTGCATTTTAGGTTGTTTTAAATATCATCTAGATAGAAGACTGCTTCACCCACCCAACTGTGACCACAGAACTAGAGAGCTACCAGTGAAGGAGATAGGTAAATCTGGAGTGCAGTCATGCATCTGGTCAGGGAATAACCAAACAGCCTCTGCACAGCTCAACTTAAAGCAAGTACCTGTTTATCTGCATGCTAAACATGCGTAGTTCTTACATGAACACATAAAGAGAGGAACATTGAATAGCGGAGGATTTTATATTATGTTTCCAGATATTTCTATTTTAAAATATTTTATTTTACATATCCGGAATTGCAAACCCACACAGCTTTCAAGGCAGTTGTTCACATTCTTTCTACTCAGTAAGTCTGTTCTTACACAGAGCAATATCTATATAAAGATAAGCTATCCAACCTTGAAAAAAGTTTGAAAGCAAAACTTCCTAACTTGTTTTTAGACTGGTTTACAAACCAATATTTCTTTCTTATTAATTTTTTTTTTGAAAAAAATATATGTGAATATTAGTCATTTTTGTCAATATTCCACCATGGATATACAGAGGTGTATAATTTTGTGTAGAGCAGCCTCAGCCAAAAGCAATACCTGGCTCCAGTTTAACCTGAAGCTTGCTGACCGGGTTGTCTTCTCCAAGGAGCTTCATCTGTCTGTGGAGAGCATCGAGGCGGAATGCAGTCTCCAAACACGTGAAGGCAGCTCCTGCCCCAGAAAGTAACTTGTTAGTTATGGGAAAATGATCAGCAAAAGCTGATCTGTGCAGGACTGACACAGGGACAAACTAAAAGCTGCTGCAGGTGCAAAAGACAGAACAGTGAGACAGAATCACAATAAGGTAATGGCAGAGAAACTTGAGTGCAGAACATCCTTGTAATTAGTAATGGAATTCAGAGCCTAACCCAATGCATATTTCCTCACTCTGATCATGCATCAGGCTGCACTGGAAAACAAAACACCATGAAAATTATGCTGAAGTTTACATCCTTGACATCATCTCATAAATTCTTGCAAAATAAGGAGAGCGGCACTGAAAATGTATTGTACAGGTAACTTTCAAGGAGCAATCAAGTCCCACAAAAACATACTGTCACTGGTAGAATAGTAAACACAATTCCATACTCAGTGCCAAAGATATTACTAAGCAAATGTCACCTCTTGAGTGGAAAGAGAAAAGAACTGGATTTGGTAATTGTATTACATATCCTGTGTACATTTTTTAAGCTTTATCTATCATCCTACCTGGTTTTTGCCCTAAGTATTTCCCCTTCCTCTCATTAGGACTTTTTACAGTTGTGACTGGGTAAGCTGCTCCTCCTCCCTAACTGAAATGTAGAGCTTTCCATGCTTTCAAACCAAACTAGCTGTATTACACTGCCAAGTCAAGAGATCTTTCCTATGCCCTTGCAGACATTAGAAGCTGCAGAAAATGGATTTTTAGATTCAGAAGATTCTTAACATCCATAACTATTAAAATTTTAGCCTTCTTTGCTGACTTTTTAACCTGAAGATAGGTTTGTTACATAGATTCAACCTCAGAGTCTCAGTGTAACACCCAAATCCTACATAGCCAAATGTGAAATAAGAACCAGGATATATTTGGGAAACATATATTTTGGAGAACCTGTATGAGCAGAGAAAGAAGTGGATGTGCTTCCCACGGGAAAGCAAGAACTAGAGTAACTAGTGTAAAGAGCAATTACTTCAAGCTACAGAGAAGAGAATTAAGCAAGATCCAAGAGGAGTGGTAGTCAGTGGACTCAAATTTCCCTGAACAATATCATTGCAAAGATGCCTATTTACTATCAACAGAAAATACTCCAGAAATTATGTACGAAATGGTAAGATTTAGATCAAAGGTTTGTCTTGGAAACAAAACAGAATGAAAAAAGTGCTTACTAAACAATTGCACAGGGAAAGACATTTTTTAGTTTCCCAGAAAATGCTTCTTGAAACAGCCAGTTCTAGAGAACAGACCAAAATCAGCAAGGATTTTGTTCTATGTTGGATGGAACAGACTAAGATGATGAACAGGTTGATATCTGCTGACCTACCCACATTACTGCCATGCATAATGTGACTTAGGACAGTGAGTACTACTCACCGAGAATTACTCAACATAAAACAGCTTTTTTTTAAAACAGATATATAATATACATTGTAACATCTCCATAGATGCTCAGAGCACTTCTTTGCCTAAACTTGTAATCAGTTCATGTCCAAAAACAATACACATGAACAAAAACAAATGTTTTCTTCTAAACATTTTTGCTGTCAAGATTTCTAGGAACTTTTCTATGATTGTTTACATTGGATGCTTGAGAAAACACATGGAACTGGCTTTTAAGAACAAAACAGTACAAACTAGAAAAGCATACATTCCCATTATTCACTTCAATAACAAGCCAATTAAACTTAAAAGAAAGAGGAATAATTTACTACTTATGTATTCTAAACCATAAAACTGACCTGTGAAATTCACTGACACAAGCAAAGGCAGGGTTTACAATCCTGCACGAAGTCTCCAGCACATAAATAGCTACATAAATCTGCACTTCTTTTCTTAATGCTACTGACATAATTCTTTTTAACAGTAGGTAGCTACTAACTGATCAGAATCAAAAGGACACTTGTTCAGAGCACAGTTATTTCACAATGTAACTTTTATAAGATTTCTTACACCTTTCTCTGAACTATCCTCTGCTGACTTTGCTCTGACATGTCAGCACCTCCCTGGTACCCCACAGTAGTTCCAAGTCCCCACAGCATTGTGCTAACACACATCACTCAAAGCCCCTGGTACCATATCTGGTATTGAGCCCACTAAAGCCAAGACAACGTCAAACTCTAAGTATGCAAGATGTTCAACACAAAGTTTGGGGCTGTGTGTGGGTGTGATTTCCAGAAATAAACCAAAACCTAACTGAAAACCAGCTCCCTACAGCCTTGTGAGCTCCAAGGCAAATCCTCCAAGCAGGCAGCTCTGAGTTACGGCAAGAAGGAGCGCAAGGAGAAGTTTCTGAGCCGTACCGTAGGTCTCGGTGGTGATCCGGCGCTGCGCGTAGGTGGCCAGGCCCTCGCTCAGCCACATCTCCTCCCACGTGGCGTTGGTGACCGCGTTCCCAAACCAGCTGTGGGCAACTTCATGAATGACGTCAATGATCAAAAACTCATCGCTCTCCAGAATGGAAGAGATGATGAAGGTCAGGCATGGGTTTTCCATGGCAACAATAGGGAAGGAAGGAGGAAGAAAAACAATGTCATATCTAAAATTAGGGAGAGAAGAAAGAAGAAAGGAGATGAGTGAACTGCAGCTAGAAGACACAAAGCAACATTTTCTGTTTTCAGAAGAGACAGTAACATTTTTCTTTCTTTAGGAAAGGCTCTTCTGAGACTTTCTTGTGACTTCAGGAACAAACTTTCTATAGCAGTGGTGCCTAATTCTTCTGATCAGAGGATCACAATTTATTTTGTTGGCCAAGGACCTGCTTATGTCTGGATGTAAAGACTTGACAGTCTTTTGATGTCATCAAAATAAGCATTGTGCTCCCTTCATACACACAAACTCATTGCAAGCTGTATATCTGGGAGCCACAAAAACTGTTTACACTATAAACAGTAGTGTAACACAGTGTTGAGTCCCCAGAGGCTCCCAGGTAAGAGAGAGGTTAGGAAGCTGTCAATGAAGGAACAGATTTCCTACATATGCAGTGTCATCAAATAACTTTAATCTGTCTGCTTCAGAACATAACAGTAATATCAGTTTTGTTTTCTAAATTTCTTTACCAGTGATCAGCACTGAAATAATCTGAGAACACTGGGCCACGCTCTCAGATTATTTCAAACAATACTTGTTAAGTCAACAACAAGGCGATCCTCCTGCTTACCTTTAGCAAAGAAATATAAGAAACCTTTGTAAACATTTTCTCCCATCCAAAGAATGCAAGTATTCTCTCAAAACCACTCTTTTCTAATATACAGTCAAGCTTTTCAAGAGCTCTTAATATAAGCTTGGGGGACTTGGACTCTCAATGAGTCTGTACTCAGAGTTTCAGTATTCTCAGGCATGCCACAATAAATGCAGAAATAAATGAGATAAATAAAACAACCATACATTTTAAATGGTGTCTGGCTCAGTGCTGGACTTACATCACAAAACACCGTAGTATGAAAATCCTCATTCCTCAGGAAAGATCCACTGTTTAGAAACCTCCCATTCAATCTGGAGATTCTTAAACAGTGGATCTTTCCACTGCAAACCAGCTAAAACACTTCCATGCCTCCATGGTCCTTCCTGTCACTTGTGGAGACAAAACTCCAGAGTCTGCTTTCAACTACTACAATGCTGCCAGTTGAAATGCTATTTTGCCCTCCTATAGGGAGAAAGCATGATCATTTGTCAATACTGTTTTATTTTGCTCCCATTGCACATTCCCAGGAGACTGACAAAACTCACCTTCCCCATATATAGGGGCCATACAGACTCTCTGCAGCAGTCAACCAGCGTTCAACAATGCCAGAAAGCTTGCTGATGGCTGTTGGCAGCAGGCAAGGCTCTGCCCACACTCTGCTCCTGTCAGAAAACAGAAAACATCAGGTGATACTTCAGCAAACTGAATTATCTCTTAGGAAAAAAAATAGCCTGACTGCTTCCACACTTCCATGTATGGTAAGAGAGCAAGGAGACCTCCCGGCAGACCCAGGCCCTCCTAGACTAATGCTCCATGGAACATGGCAAGAGGTAACCAAAAATCCCTTCAACAAGGCAAGAAGAAAGCTGCTGTAATGACTTCAGGGAACAGTAGGCAACATTTATGGAAGAGGAACATATCTTTGCCAGTGCAGTGCCATGAATTTCCTTTTACTACACTTCAACTACACTTCAAACTCTCTCTGTGCTCACAGCTCATGAACCCAACTGTTCCCTTATCAATGACTCAACATCCTTGCTACTTTACAGTATGAAGCACTGTACAGAGACATAAAATGCAGAAGGAACTCACTGCAAATCTTACCTTGGACCTATGTCTGCATGTATGAGGTCTCCAGCCACCAGGGCCACTAGGTAAGCAGGAACTGGATATTCCATGTAAAATTGATATACACCTTCCTCTTCTAGGTAGGAACTTTGGGTGGCACTCATCAACACCTGTATGCCTGCTGGAGCCTGGAAGACCATCATGGTACACATCAACTCACCAGATAATCACAGCTGAATGACTGAACCACAGATCTCTGGTTCATTTTCATCTATGCTTGATGATGTGCATTAAAAATAATCACTTACATAACACAAAAAGTAATATGTCTGTGAGGTTTTGTACCACAATCTGCTCAATCCATGAAAACATACCAACCAAAGACTTTACTCCTCCTATATGACAGCTGCCCCAAAAGCACCACATATTAAATTATTTCATCTATATAAAATGCAGCATTATTTGACGCAGATTTCAAAGACTTCAGGTTTTTTCTTTCAAAAATTGGTACAATACAGTTGAGTGTTATCATCGATAACCACTATTGGAAGGGGCCAGTCAAACTCTCTCTCATATTTTTATTTCACAATTACTCTTTGAGTACAACGAAGATATTAAATTATTTCATCTATATAAAATGCAACATTATTTGATGCTGATTTCAGAAGACTTCGGGTTTTTTTCTTTCAAAAATTGGTACAATACAGTTGAGTGTTATCATTGATAACCACTATTGGAAGGGGCCAGCCAAATTCTCTCTCATATTTTTCTTTCACTATTACTCTTTGAGTACAAGGAATGCAAGACCCAAGCATGGTAGGCAACAGTTACCTTTGTGGAACTACCCTGATTCTGGCCCAAGAACCAGAGTTGGACCTAAAAAATTCAGTATTTTTTATAACACTGAATCACAATATTTTTAGCAGATGTAAACTGCTAAAAATACATGATGTAACTACACTTTCACAAGTTGACAGCAACTAAGAGCTCCGTGAACCATTCACAGGCATCCTTACCTTGACAGTGGCTGAGTAGGTGCATTTCACTGCAGGGGTGTCAAAGCAGGGGAAGAAGGAGCGGTTACACACTGAGTGTCCCTGTGTGAAGACAAAGGGCTTGGCATTGCCATATGTCAGCTCTGGATCCAGCCACCAGATCTGTTGAAACACCACGGGAGAAAGAGGTGAGGGAAACAGACTACGTGACAAGGATGAACTGCCAAAAACAAAATGTGAAATCAAGGGGGCTGTGGGGGAGAAGCACAACCTCAGCTGTTGATCTGCCCAGATGAACCTGGCACAGGGCACATTTCCATCTCTAACAACACATCTTTCTACTCCAGTTTATTTTCTGGGAATGCTCAGAAAAATTTCTTACTGTCTGAACACTGAGTGGTGACATGTAACATAGTGACTTCCAGCCACTCACTATTTCTGTTATATCAATTTGCTTGGTTAATAACAAGTCCCTAACAAACATCCACACAACCTTCTTCTCAAAGGGAGTACTCTGGCTATCTCCATGTTTATAACTCAATATGAACAGAAATAGAAGGGGTCAGGTAATATAAGCTGAAAAGAAAAAAAAAAAAAACTACCCAAAACAAATTCAAATCCACAAACCAAAAATCCCTGAAGCTGAACAGTGTACACAATATTATCTGTGACCCTGACACTGCCCTCGTGGCTGAAGCATCAAACATTTTGACACTATGCTAAAAAGTCGGTAAATGTAAGAAACATCTGGTCAAGGACACCGGGGGCCCCTTTTTACAGAATGGATAAGGAGATTCTGGGTGGTCAAAAAAGAAAAGCCAAAAAACCACAACACTGAGTACATCAATTTTCAGTACCAAACAGCAAATAAATCACAAGTCAGACCCTCAGCAAATAATTAGAACAGATTAAGAATAATAAGAAAAAGTCAAATTATTTGCCTTTTGGTCTTTCTGTTTCAAATGTTTGTGCTTTCACATGCTCCCTGCCTCCAACTTTGAAGTGCAGGAGCAATTTTAAATAAGGGTTTCCTTGTAATCCTAGAACTCTGGAGTTAAACTCTGATGGAAAATACCAAATATTGTGAAATTTGCAATAAAATTTGAACCCCTGGAAATCTTGGAAACAGTTAAACGCAAGGAATAAAACTTCTGAGTCTGCTGAATTCTTAGATCAAAGCAACCAATAAATCTGAGATCAGGGAACAGCAATACTAGTTCAGTTCTAGTCCTCAAGGGAAAGCAACGAAACACAGAAGAGAAGCCTGGCCACTAAGTCTGCTCACGTTTTAACAACATATTACAACCTCTGTCTCCTAGTTAACTTTTGGAAGTTAAAGTTTTCTCTGTCTCCTTCTGTCCTATAAGGTTACTTTTTGATATCTTCTTCCCTTGCCCTTAGACCTTTTTCCTCAGATGTCAGTGTGCTCCTCTCCCAAATCATCCACTGCAGCAGCACCCGCAGGGATCAGTGAAAGGTGAGGACAGGAAACAGAGTCAGCAGCTTTCAGTTATTCCCAAAGAGTCTCACACTTCTGCTGGCAAATGTTTGGGGTTTTTTAGGAGGGAGGCATTACAAAATTAAAAACTTTTATCTAAAAGTAAAATTCATCTCTTGAAATTTGTGTTAAGATTACCCTCTTCTATTTCAAGCCTGTAGGGCCAGAAGCAAACCTAAAGCAGGACTTCTGAGGAGCTCTGTTTGTTCACATCCATGTGCTGCATTTCAGGGTAGCACTGCCCACAACCCTGGGTCACAGCCCAGGGACACCTACATAGATAGCTACAGATTTCCACTACATTTCTCGTGGATACCTGCTTTTCACAGCAATGAGTATCATTTCTGCAATGCCACATTATGGAACTAGAGACAGCTGCTCCAGAAGGCATTTGGGGACATATGTCTCATTACACACCAATAACTAGTAAGCCAGAACACACAATTACAAAAAAAATGAAGGTGCTGTATTTAATACAGGGTAGTAGTTTTCTAACAATCCAGGGAAGAGGCTCAGAAATGAAATTTCAAAGATCTGTCCCAATGCCTTTTAAACACAGTCCTCTGATCAGTGGCTTTGTGCTTGTATCACAAATCTCTATCACTGGCCCTGCTTAAGAGACTCCTCTTCAAAACATTGTATCCTTTGCTTTTTGAGAGACAGAAGAGGCTAACAAAGAAAACAGAGAGATAAGGCACCACCACACCTAAGTTGCAACACTTGAGTAGGAAGGAAAAAGGGCTGACAGACAATGTCTTCACAGCAGAGAGACAAGGGGAAGTTGTCCCTGAGCAGTGCAGGAGGAAAACATAAGCAGGAAGGGAAGAGGAACTAAGAGTTGATTCTTGTTTACAAGAAACCCCATAAATTAAGGACAACTTCTTTTCAACCAGTCCTGCTTTATTTGACATTTGGTTGAAGTTAAGCCCCACAAGCCAAAAGGGAAAACATTTGCAGAGGATGAAGTATTTTTTTCCCTTGTTTTCTAATGTCTACAGCTACATGGCAAGCCTCTGTCTCCCTTTCCAGACACACTTGGAACAATGATGAAAGTTATCCTGAAACAATATAAATAGATCTGTAATATAAATAGACCAGCCTATGCTGCTGGACAGAGACAGGGCTATGGGCTGGGGAAAATGAGCATAAGCAGCATCCCAGAAAGGAGTGCGAGGCACAGGGTGCTGCTGGGGCAGGATAGGAACAGAGCAGTATTTGGGGCTGTATCATCTACTCCACATGCAAATCCCTCCTGCAATTCCCCTTGGGAAATACAAATGACATCATCATCATCATGCTCTTCATTTTTTTGTAGCTTTTCATATATACAGGAAAGCTGTTTCACACATTAAAGCTGTTCTGTGGTGCATTTCAATTAAAAAGACCTGCTGCATGATTCCTCTGCTGAAGAAGGGCTTTTGGCAGCACAGGCTTTCCCCTGCCCACATACTGCAAAGAAGTCCACACTTTATAAGACACCTGCCAAGATTATAATTTTTATTGACTTAGATCATAATCTTTTGCCCAAATCTGGCAAATGACAAAGGCAATTAGCTAAGCCTCTTTTAATTTTAAACCTCTCCATGTTTCTACATGCATTATTGATGAAGGTGGAAGGAAGAGCTGCAAAGCCACAGCTTCTGTTCTAGGCAAACAAGCTGCTCTATCTGATGACAAAGTAAACAGAACACCTGAGATGCAGAGCACGTGACAGAAGCAAGGCACACCTGGGCAGCAAGTCATTCTATGGGGACTGAGGAACCAAGACAAATCTACAGAATTACAGGGAAGATTCTAGCACTGCAAAGAGGGCCGTCCTTTCTGCTAAATCCTGAAGAGGAGGAAATGTTATAATTTTTTGTACCAGAACCCAGAGGAGGATTTGCATTTAAGGAAAGAAAATAGCACTGCTGTAAAGATGTGCACTGCCAAATCAGAGAAATTACACAGTGGGCAAGAGATACATTTCTCTCTAGGGAAAGAAAAAAGAAAATATCAAACAAAGAGTATTACCAACAAGTAAGGGATGAGGGAGAAGGAGGAGAGAAAGAACAGGACTATTGTCCCTGATATATCTGATCACTGTGTGCCTCAGCCCACACCACGAGAGATACACAATGATTGTGAGAGTCTTGCCTCTGATGGAAACTGGTGATGTACTGAGCATATGGTTTCCTAACAGCACAGGGAGCTGGAATGCTCTGTGAAAGGCAGATTTAATCTCTCAGCTGTCTCTCAATGTCCATCAAACAACCAAAGATCTTGGCTTCTTCCTCCACATGAGGAATAATGGGACAGTCAAATAACATGTCCAGATGGCTCAAAGCAAGTATATCAAGACAACAGGTTTCCAATTTTAAGCACTACTATCTCTCCTGCTGATCTCACTGCCAACACATTCACACTGCACTGTAACATGTATTTACTGTTTTATAGGTCCCACAAGTATGATAAAGGTCCCACAGAAAATAAACCCTGACCTAAGGAGAAGACATTCCTAGAATGGCCAAAGAAAATAGAACTTTTATAAGAGAGAGGTCTGACACTGTAAATCTGTGCCTCACTGACAGAGAAAAGGGACTGCCAGAATATTTACAAGACATGAGTATAAACCATTTGACCCTTATACACATATGGGTTACTCATCCCTGTTAAAGTGCAGGGCTGGGCCAAAAAACAGCAATGACAGAGAGCACTACAATAGCACCAAATCGCTTTGGATCCAAACAAAATAGTTCAGCATGCTGAACATGAAGGGCTACAACAGGTGCTACTCGAGGACAAATATTTTGCCAGCCAAAACCTACAACAGAGAGTGAATAAACATGGTAGGATTTATGTCAGTGAGCATGCCTGCTCCTGCTTTCCAGTACCACTTGGGAAGGGCAGCACAAGTCCCCAGTGCTGTGACCATCAATAATCTTGACATAAGCCTTGCAGCTTCAGTTGAGCTGAAGCAGGACATGCTGTTAAAGGTACAATAAAGACTTCAAAGAACAGTATAAAGAATAGATAGTTCACTTCTGATCCATGGGGAGCATAGAGGGAATGGAAGAAATGTCCTACTCCACCATCCATACAGGACTGCGTGTGGGGCCAAGGAGACAACACATTAATACAAGGTGAGACTAAATGAACATCACATCAATCAGTGCCCCTGAGCCTTCCAGTGGTTTTCACATTCCCAAAGCCAGATCAGTGCTCCACTCATACTGAGATCACTTCTCCATAGACTCAGCAGGACAGGCTGCCCCTTTGGCAACAGGGCTGGCAAAACACAGAGGAAAGCACAGGCTGGCCTAAAATAAAACAATTTGTTCAAGAGGAGGAAAGCACGTTATCATGTACTTTGGGAGGTGTGGCTCAGCCAGACTGAGAACGATTACAGAGCACACAGCAATGCCAAATTAGCTTTAAAGCCTTCTCACCACAAACAAGGCAGAGAGTGGACAAAGGTTTCTTCATAAACCTGGGGGAAAAATAATGAACAGAATCTTCTGAACACACTGTGAGTTACATGGCAGACTACAAGGAAATACTAAAGCCAGGAATTCCAGAGATGAAAGTGGATCTGAACTTTAAAAGTGACAGAATCTTCCTTCATTTCTGCACTATTAGGGAAAGATTAGAACATTAAAAAGTCACCATATGACGACAGGAAACTTCTGTCAATAAAAGGCTTCATGTGAAATTCACTATTCCGAGTGAGTCAATGTATTAAGACTATCAAGATCATTCCAAGGATGAAATTACTTTTGTGATCTTCTATGTAGTATTAAAATTAGACAGAGAAACATCCAGCAAACACATTCTAATCAGCAAGACTCTCCTGTCAAGAGAAAAGGCCTACTATTTACTTCCTGAGGGTTGTTTTGCAAGAAGCTTTTGTTATTCAATTCCTGCTCTTGTTAAATACATTGTAAAAGCTAAACAGATCCACACATTTACTGGTTTTGACCAGTGCAACAGCAACACCAAATCAGGGGACTGAGAGACAATTCCTCTAGGCAACATAGATGCAACAATGTTGCAAGATGTTTATAAAAATACATCTCTTTTGTAAATAGATTCATGAACCACGTGATGAAAATCACCTCAGTTTAATTTCCAACAGACTGTACAGTAACAAAAAGAACTGATGTCCCAGGGAGAACTTCGTATTTTCACTGTCACAACTTCTTAAAAACACAAGTCCTGATAAGCAGCACCTAAAAGGCTGGGAATAAAGCGCTTCTAAATACCAGGGATTTAAAAGAAATTATAGAATTTACAAAGCATTTCACTGCTGAAGAAAGCTAATCCACAGACATGGAAGAACCTCCACGGCTACATCCAAAGGGGTGTTTTGGGCCATTTCTCATCCCTTTTTTCAACAGATAACTTGTAGGAACCTGTGGAATCACCCCTGTTCTCAAAGCTCCTGACCACGGCTCGTTGGAACACCAGCCTAGCTGTGCAAGGCCTGATTTTGTTAGCAGTTGGCAAAACCCCCAGGGAAACTCCTACATTGTGCATGACATAATTTATCCTGAAGGACTGAGCCGAGGCAGGAGCTTGCAAATTTTCACTCTCCTTGCCAACAACTGCAGTGTCCTTAAAAGAACGAAAAACTTTCAAATTATTATTGTATGGGGGGATGAATAGCCTTGGGGTCCAGGCGGTGGAGGAAGACAGGAGGGAGAGAGGCTGGATCGGTACGGGCACCGCTGCTGAGAGCGGCGCGGGGCTGGCAGAGCCGAGAGCCCCTGCGGGCAGGGCACAGACACTGCTGCCCAGCGGGCTGGCGCTGCCAGGCGATGGGGCCAGGGACAGGACCGGAGAGGAGGGCAGTGAGACATCTCCCGCCGCCTTTGCCGAGCAGCCGGGGCGCTTCCCCGACGGTCACTTAGAACAGGAGCAAAGATGTGCGACGGGAGGGCTCTGCCGGCCGCTCCGGGACCCGGTTCCCTGCGTTACCAACCCCGCCCGGTACTCACGGCGGGGCCGTCGGCCGTGGTGTAGCGGACGATGATCTGGAAGGGCTGGTGCGGCTGGAGGGCGGCGGGCAGGGAGAGGTGGGGGGAGGAGCCGTAGTCGGTGAAGGGGTCCACCCTGAAGCCGAGCGGGCAGGCGGAGCAGGGCGGCTGGGCGAAAAGGCGAAGGCGCAGGGCGCTTCCCCGGCCGCGGCGCGGCGGAAAGCGGCCGAGAGGACGCGCAGCGCCGGGTGCACGTCCAGCACCAGGGCGCGGGGCTGCGGGCGCAGCGCGCACAGCTCCAGCACCAGGCAGCCCGCCAGCGCCCGCGCCTCGGGCCGCAGCTCCAGCCCCAGGTGCAGGTGCCTCAGGCTGAAGAGCTGCGAGCTGGACGCCGACGCCACGTCCGGCGGCGGCTCGGGAGGCGGCGGCGGGGCCGGCGGCGCCTCCGGCCCGGCCGCGGAGCCCTTGCGACAGCAGCACAGGCCGGGCGGCCGCGGAGCAGGAGCCGCCATGGAGCGGCGGAGGAGGAGGAGGAGGCGGCGGCGGAGGCGGCGGCTGCTATGTGAAATCCATGGGCGGGCGGGGAGGAGGGAGGCCCCGCCCCGCCCCGCGGCGCCTCAGGCCGGGCCGGGCACGGCCGGACACACGGCGGGCACCGGGACAGCCCCGGAGAGCGGCACCGCTCCCGAGAGCAGCGGGCATTCGTGCCTTCCCTCACTCACAGGCGTGCGTATCCGCGCCGTGCCGCCCGCCCTGCGCGGCAGCGGCTCCGCCCAGCCGTGCCCCTGGCGCAGGGCAGCTTGAACCGGCCCACACGGAGCTTCCCTCCGCTCCGCACAGCCCGGACACACCGATCCCAGCGCTCCTGCTCTGGGCACGGCCACAACGCCCCGCTCGGCTCCCTCCCGTGCCCTCACGGCCAGCTCTGAATGCCTCACTTTCAGCGTTCCACGGCAGACACCGCAACCCTCCAGCCCAGGCTCCCAGCAGGGCTGATTCTTGCGCCCTCATCCCACCCCTAACTAGTTTGGCTTTCTCCCTCCTCCGGTCACACCCCCACATCGAGCTCACAGCTAACCCTAAACAGCCTCCCTTCTCCCTGCATCCCCCCACACCCGTTTTTTAAATCCCTTCTCTCCCAGCTGCTCTGCCCGTAGTTTCCTGCCTCCAGCTCTCACTGCAAACTGGCCCCAGAGCCCAGGTCAGACTAAATGTGTTTTACTGTTCCCTAGAACTCGGGGTCATCAATCACACGCCCTCTACTGCTGCCTTCCTAAACGGGAAAGGGCAGAAATCACAAAGTTATCAGCTTTGTACAAGCACTTGTTTCTCTGCGTGGCAACAGCAGGAGTCAGCAAGCTGGAAGGAAGGAGGTGTGTGCAAGTAACTGTGATTTGCACTCCCACCAGCCCAAGAGAAGTGCAGTCTCTGCCCCACGTAATGACACTTCTGTAAGTTATTTTCATTCTAATTTTCACTGTTATGCTTTGCCTACCTCACTGCCTGATGAGGCTCCAAGGCACATATTTTGGACAAGACAGGAGCATTTCTCACATGGTTGTGGGTTTAATGAATCCACAGTTGTACACTCTGAAAGCCTCCCAGGCCTTACACTAACAACTGCAGCATCTGCACCAAATTCCAGCTCAGTTTCCACTGCATCATCACACCAGAGGCACAAACTGTGGCCTCAGCACTTTGTGGCTGCAGTTACTGGCCCAACCAAGGGTTAAACAAATCACAATATCACCCTCCACCGACCTGAATCTAAAGAAAACCTTTGTGTAATCACTTATATATAGCAAAACACATGCTACAGTTGCAGTAAAAAATAACAAATTAGCACTCAAGCTCTTTGGTTGCTGCATACAGCACTCTGCACTTTCTCAGTGTTTTCAAGCACCTTCAAAAAGAAATTTTGCCTTTACAATAAATCCCCTTGTAACTAAGAAAAACATTTTGTCCTGACATTTTTGCTGTCCACATCCTCCTTTAATAAACCAAATGTCCTGCTTCTATCCTTCTGACACCCTCTCACACTTGTACCAGTTGCCTTTTGTAAAAATTTGGCTCCCTCCAATTTTGTTTCCAGTGATGCACTAAGCCTGTTTGACACGGCTTTCATCTACAGCGGGTGGGCAAAGCACAGCCCCAGAAACCTCAGGATCTGACCTTGCACAACCTTCCCTACAGATAAGGGTGAAATGTCCTCAGGTGCTCAAGCCAGGACAACTTTAGGGCCTGATTACACCAATCTAACTGCATGTTACCTCCACAGTAATTTTAGAAGAATCCTACCTGTGCTTTGGTTGAAGTCCCAAGCAAGTGCAGTGTGTCCGCTCATCAGACAGATAAGATGAGGAATAACACAATTTCTTGAAGAGGCTCTAAACTTTTGATAATGAATCAATATCAGGTGCACTCACAGTGTTTGGACAGAATAAGCAAAACTGATGTAATGAAAACTCCAGAGAACAATAGTTACCAGTTATCCCAGGCAAATCTCTCCTTTTGCACACCTGCTGGTCTTGGACCACAGCCTTTGCTGTAAGATGTGCTGATTTTGGCTGGGCTAGAGTAAGTTTTCTTCACAGTAGCTGGTATCAGGCTGTGTTTGGGGTTGGTGCTGAGAACAGTGTTGATAATTCAGGGATGTTGTATAGCTGTTGCTGAGCGGGGCTTGCACAGAGCCAAGGACATTTCTGTTCCTCATCTGACCAGCAAGGAGGCTGAGGGTGCTCAGGGAGATGGGAGTGGACACAGCAGGGACAGCTGCCTCAACTGACCACAGAGATATTCCAGACCACATGGCATTAAAAAAGTTGGAGAGAAAGGAGGGGAAATTCAATGATGGTGCTTGTTTTCCCAAGTCACCATTACACACAATGGAGCCCTGCTTTCATGGAAACAGCTGCCCACGGGAAGTGGGCAATGAGTTCTTTGTTTTGCTTTGCTTTTGTAGCTTCTGCTTTCCCTATTATTCCCATCCCAACTCTCAAGTATTCTAGCTTTCACCCTTTCAATTCTCTCCCCCATCCCACAGGACTGTGTGGGGTTTAGTTGCCAGCTGATATTAAACCAGAACAGAAACATGTGCTATCTCCATGCTATTTTGGGTAGGATCTCTTTAAAGAAAGTCTCTGTCCCAATCCCAGTGTGGGATTCATAGGATGAAGTCTTCTCTTATGTCATACTATAAATTCTACAGCAGAATCCAACTCCTGAACATTCCAATCATCATCATCAACCTCTTGCAGAATGCTCCAACAACACAGATATTTCAGTCAGTAAATATTAATGTTTCTTCTTTCCAATTCAGTGACTGGGCCCTTGGCCAGGACTCAGCTTGCTCCTGTGGTTCGGGATGAAAGTCAGTAAAAAAATTACAGCTGCCCCTGTGACCAGCAATACTTCAGTACACCTGTGAGACAAGTGCCAAATGAAGCACAGAAGTGATCACAACAGAAAGAACATTTCCTTCTGTCAGTCTCCATCTTTAATTCCAAAGTAACAGTGTTGCAGCCAAGGTTTAACAAAATGGTTCAGCTAATCCCTGCTATTCACAGGTGACTGTTCACCTGCTCCACCACAGACCCTTGTCTGACACCTTGCTGAGCTGTTTCAGCTGGCCAGAGCTGCAGCAAAGATTCAGCTCTTAGTCAGAGTGTAACTGGGGAGCAGCAGTTCGGGACAGTGAACACCGAGCAGCTCCCTCTCACACCTATGCTACTGTTACAGCCAGCACCGACGGAAGAGCAGCCCCATTTCACCTCCCTTCCTGTGGGTGGTGCCTTCCTGTCTCCTCCTTTGTACAGCATTCCTGCTTTCTGCAACTTAGCTTTCTGAACTGGACCACACAAGGGCCACTGCTGGCATCGGGAAGGGAAGAGGAAGTCCCAGCCTGGAAGAAGAAGGAGGATAAGATCAGGATGGCTCCCCTTTTGCCTAGACTGCCGTTAGCTCAGCCTTAGCTGCAAAGTGAAGCCACACACTGACCCCAGCAGCACGCAGAACCAGGTACATTAGCCCATTTCCTTCAAGGGGAATATTGAAGTCCATGGGGTAAACTCCAGGCCTGTGAGCAGGATAAGGTCTGTGCTTGTTAATTCTTGCTTTGGACACGAGTTAAGAACAATCACAACAATGCTTTGTGCTACTTCAAGCTACAGTGCAAGCTCTGTTAATACCACAATTTGCCTGTGGTACTGGTAGGTAGAAATGCTTCTTTCTGTGGCTTTGCAGTCATGTCACTCCACAAACAGTAGTGCTTTCAGGTAAAGAAAATGGAAAATCTGAGCCTAAGAAGGTCTTCCACATGACCTCAGCCCTTCTATTTGGCTTGAATACTTGTACTATAAATTATTACTCCCTGTACTACTCAACATTTGCAAGCTACCCCGATGCTGGAGGGCACAAAAATCACCCACTACACTTTTAAAGAAACACCTTTACTCTGAAGGAAGAAAGATCAAACCATGATGCATGACAAGGAAAATAAAAACCCAAAGCCTGCAAACCTTCTCCCCAGGGCTCAAAAAAGTGCAAAGTTCTTTATGTGCCCAAAAACAAACCACTTACACCAATAAAATTTACAAAACCCAAAATAGTTTTATTTACTTTTCAGATTTCTGCCTCAATGAGACATTTTGCAAACATGCTAAGGCTACAAAATGTCCAAGTTGACAAAGACATGCAACGCTGACCATTCAATAAGTCACAGCTATCACAGGAACGACTGTGTCCCCCGGGCCACAGGTCCCAAAAACAGGGATGGTGTACAGTGATCATGGCAACGCACTACGCAGGACCCAGTAACCTGAGGTAGGTCATTTACAGTAAGAAAACCATGTCCTACACCAGTGTTACATCCTGATCAACAGGAACCCCTTTCAGGTTCCAGAAGACGTGGGGTCGAGGACTGCTTCCTTAACAAGTGTGCAAGAAAGAAACAGGAATATCCATGTTGATTAATCTTAGTTTAAGTGAGCAGAACAAAGAGTTAGTGTTACCCATGCCAGAGAAAGCCAACCTAAACCTCTGAGGAGTGTTAGCAGCTTCAAGATAAAGAGTCAGTCAGCTGAAGCAACTCTGAAAAGGCTTTCCTGCCAGCATACAGGGTACAATTTGAACCTTATGATTAATTTGTTACAGATCATTCCACAAACAGTAAGATTTTGGTTGTGTTAGATCAGCGAAGCAGGAAGAGCTTGGGCTTGCTTACATTAAAATAAACTCTGCTGATACAGTAAGAAATACTGTGTCAGGACACTGAGAAAATACAAGGCCTTAATGTGACCCAGGAGTGGTTCTCCATTCGGATCACTAAAAACCCTGCTTTGGAAAAGCATCATGGGAAGCAGCAGCCGCTGCCGTGGTGAGCATTAGCAATGCCCCAAATAGCTCTGATAAATTACAATGCAATAGTTACACCACAGAGCTCTTCTCTGCTGCGCTAGACAAAGATGTGACAATAAAGGACACTATTGCAAAGCTTCACTTCCACTCAGACACGCAGAAAATCCGGCACTAGGAAAAGACGAACTGTAAAAGACAAAACATTGTCTGATACAGTCCGATAACAAAGCCAGATCTCTGGTACCATAAACTGTACAAAAATGATAGAAAAGAATATGCACTGTTATTAATACAGTGCTTATTTTAATATAAAATAAACAGCTTACATTTCCACTGTAAATATAGGCTATATACAGAATTATGTATAGATATAGCTACATGTATAAAGCTTCATTATAGGCCTCTGATACATTTATAACTATGGCTCCCTGAGCCATTTGTAGAGTGCATTTAATAACAAAAAATTAGTAGTATGGAATAAATACAATAATAAAAACATGAGTTCTTCTGACATGGTTTTTAAAACTCTCTGGCTTGACACATTGTGCTAAAAATTAAAAGATGAAAAGACAATAATCTGCGAGGAGGAGGAAGAGCTGGCCTGCCACAGGCAGGGAGCGTAGCTCTCCAAAATTAAAGTGACTTTGCCCTGAATTTCAGCCCTTGACAGCAACCTTGTTCTCTGCAGCAGCAAACATAGCATAGAAGCGCGAGTTCTCGTTGGCCAGAAGGGCAGTCGGGGTGTCGAATTCCACTACCTGAAACCAAACAAGGCAGGTAAAGTATGTCAGTAAAATGCAGCCGAGAATTGACTTCCACCTCTTGGACTTGTGATGTGATGGTAAAGAGTGGAAAACACAGCATTCATCTTTAGGAGAGACACCAGGCAGTGAAAGTACCTGCATTTAGGGATACTGTAACCTGGAATGCTTCAAACTGGCTCAGAAACTGAAGTAGCCCAGCAGAAGCAACCTCTGGTGGTTCTGGCAGAGGCATATGCTATGGGCTTTTGATTTCTCTACCTTTAAGGAGCCTTGCCCAATGTTCTTGCATTTAACTGTTTATGGCCCTCAAATGGAAGCCTGAAAAATATGTGAAGTATCTGCCATAGGTGTGCTTGATGGCACAGGGCTTTATGAAAGTAATGGGAAACTGCCACTGAGCCCCAGCAGAGATGTTTATGTTACTACCCATCTCAGAATTAATGTACAAAGGAAGGCTCAGAGATTTTTAAAGACAGACTGTTATTCTATGGTACTTTCCTGGTGTGAAAAAGAAATTTTGCCATCTTTGATCTTGTCACAGGCAGCAACTGATTCTACTGGACTCTTATTACCAAGGATATGAATGAACAGAGGATTTTCTACCCTGCAGTGCAGCTGTTCCCTCAGTTCAGTGGCACCAGCAGACCAGAGGCAGAGAGGCTCCCTGCTCACCTGTCCCTGTGTTAGCACCATGATGCGATCGCAGCCCAGGACCGTGTGCAGGCGATGAGCGATCGTTAACATAGTGCAGTCTGCAAACGCCTCTCTGATGGTCTCCTGGATCAGTAAGTCTGTCTCCGTGTCCATAGCAGCTGTTGCTTCATCCAGGATCAATATCTGAAAGCAGCACAGAATTCTGGCTGTTACCCATGGTCACACCTTCCCTCTCTGAATATAAAAATACATATAGAGGGGGCAGAAGGGCCACAGCCAAGTGTTGTCACAACTGGCAATCCTTACAGAGTTGTGGGCACAAACACAGGTTTTGCAAGTACCCTTTCAGTTTCCTCTATGTAATTACCTTCAACAAAGCCTACAGATGACACTTACATTTTTATTGTCACATCCTAGAGCTACACATGGGTTATAACCCAGCCTTTAAGTTTCTACTACTTCCAGTTTTATATTCCACAGATGAATCTCAATTTACTGGTAAAAATTCTGCTTGACACATCCCTGGTAGTGACATTCCTCCTGGAATGGGTCAATACAGACTAGGCTTAATAGCTTTCTTACACTGGGTAAAAAGTTTCTTCCCCTCCAACATAACCTGATTTGGACTGATTTCTTGTCAAAACTGAACACGCTTTGTGCAGGTACTGCAGAGAGAGCAGTAACTTCTGCTGAGTAGTCTGACTTTAAAAACAGATGCATAGTGAACTTTAAAATATTATGATATGTCACATTTCAGAAAAAAGGTTGTTAAAACCAGAATCCTGATCAATCTCAATCCAAAAGTCCTTTCTAACTGTAATTATTATTTGTTTTCCATTCCTGCAAAATCTTTCACTTGGCTGGCATAGCATGGTCCCAAATTCCACTTGGAGACCGCATTTTAGTGGAGCACCATGTAGAAGAAAAACGCTTGGCTCACATTCACAAAAAGGTGGAAAAAGGGAAGAATCTGATGTTCCCCAGTAACAGGACACTGAAGAGATTATTGTCTGACAAACTACTGTTAGCACTTAGAAGCAATTCCTTTCCAATGCCAGGACATTACAGGAGCTGGTTACAGATACCTTCCTGCTTGTTTTAACCTTACACCTCTCTGGGTTGCAATAATCATTGGTGTGATTCTTCTGAGAGACAGAAAGAATTCAGCACAAAAAAGGCTTGTTTAATCCTATAATTCTGGTATCTCTAGCTATTCCTCTCTCTGCTGTGCTCACCTTGCAACGACGCAACAGAGCTCTAGCTATACACAATAACTGTCTCTCTCCAACAGAAAAGTTCTCCCCATTTTCCATCACTTCTGAATCAAGTTTCATAGGCAGCTGTGCAACCTGTGTGGGAAAGAAGAGGCAAAATAAAAATCTTAGAGCACTGCACAAAATCATATAAACACAAACAGATCTCCTGACAATCTTTGTCACCAGCAGAAGAGTGAACCCAGTCCCTGCAGGAATTACTGCAGCCATACCTGCCACCTGACTTACATGAAAAGAACTGGAAATGTCATGGCAGCAAGACTTACTGAGAGGGCCTTGCAAAGGGCAGGCTTTAAGTTCAGTATAAATTTGCACATATGACATGTACAGTCACAAATGGAAATGTAGAATGCACACCTGAGGCACATACAGAAAAATATAATTTGAAATGTTTTAACACCCTAAGAGTCCCTGTGATGAAGCAGCACTCTGCTATTCTATATATTAAAAAAACTACAGAATATGGCATGTCCCAAAAAAACCAAAAATAGCAGCCTGATAAAATAATGGGAAAAAAGAAAATAAATTGGTCAAATAAAGCATAGAGAACAAGGGGGAAAATGTAGAGAGAAAGCTTAGATAAAGACCTCTAAAGCAGCTACTAACAGATTATGTTGCTTTGGAAGTCAAATGCAAACATTCATCACCCAGAGCACATAATACTTACACACTCCTTCATGTGAGTCCTTTCCAAAGCAGCCCAGATTTGTTCCTCACTGTACTGATTGAAAGGATCCAAGTTTGATCTGGAAGGGGAAGCAGGAAACAAGCAGAATTTTAATTCAGCAATGAATGGCAAACCAACAGTGTGCTAATTTATCCAGACAGGTGATTCCCATCTGGCCTTCCACTAACAGTTTCCTTGCCAGGGAAATCAGATGTTCCCAGCACACCGAGGTTAGAAGAGCCAAAAAACAAGGGTAGAGATGGAAGACAAAGATATTAAAACTTCACATATAAAGGGAAGCAAGACTTCCATACAGGATGACCACACCCAGTGCTGCACTGGACCAGCTAAAATCATTCATCTGTGGGGTTTTTTGTTTCTAAACCAGAACAGAAGCAAGGATGCCTGAGAGCTATCACCTCACCAGGCACCTATTACATTTCAGGTATAAGCACGAAGACTGCTCAGTCCCTTCTTGCCTTCTTATGGCCTCACTAACCTCACAGTGCCACTGAACAGCACAGGTTCCTGAGGGATTATGGAGAGTTTGCTCCGAAGATCTGCCAAGCCAATGTCATTTATTTTCACTCCATCAATTTTAATGCAGCCTCCAGACAGTTCAACGAGACGAAAGAGTGCCATTCCAAGGGAAGACTTCCCTGAAAATGAGACAGGAAAAACATGAGTGGTGTTTCTACAGAATCATAACAGTTTTCAGATGAGAAAGCACTTTAAAAGCTGTCCACATCTAAGAAAAGTTTTAAAATACCAAAAAGGTCTGGCAAGCAAGTCTCTGGTAAGTTCTGAGGTTCAGCATTTAAACTTCTGAGCAATTGTGGGGGCAGCTCCTAATCTCTCCTCAAAGAAGTCATGCCTGGAGTGCTGCCCCAACCCCACTGCCAGAACCCTGCCATGAAAACCCAATAAAACAATATAAATTACTTATTTAGAAACTCATTTTGAGGTTGATTTAAGTCATCTCACAAACAGGGGTTTGGATTCTTCACGTTATAGTGTTCTGAGATGGCTCAGAGCCAAACCTGCCTGCAGCATCAGTACAGAATCCTTCAAGAGAGAAGGAAAGAGCACATTGCAGGCACCAATCTGTGCTGGTCAGTGGTTTGGGGAGTTAAATACATTCAACATATTGGCTCAACATAGTAGGATATCCCTGTGCTTTAAATGGAAATTTGTTTTCACTATTGTTCACAGGGTTATGCTTACATACAGACATAAATGGAAACCTCCACTGACAGAGTGCTCAACCCCTCCTGTGCAACCAACTTACTCAAACACAGGAGAACCAATATGACTGCCCAAATCTGTTCTGTAAAAGTAATAATTTAACTCTGCTAAGTGTTTTTCCTTACCTGAGCCTGTCCTCCCCACAATGCCAATCTTCTCCTTCGGTTTGATGGTAAAGGACACTTTTTTAAGTACTAGAGGGAGGTTCTCTCGATACCGCATCTCTGCATTTTCAAAAACAACTTCACCTTCCTGTGGCCAGTCCAGAGGAGGAGTTTTGTTCTTAATTCGTGCAGGAGCTTCCAGGGAAAGCGTCTTTTAACAAAAATACAGAAGTTCAGTTTCCAGTAAACAAAGGACCAAAGGAAAATTATCAGCTGCAGCTTTCAGCAGTTCTTCCCTGCAGACTCAGCCCAGATCATTTACGGCAGTTCCATGATGAGCTGTTTGGCTGGATGTGGGCACAGTGGTACAGAAGTTTGCAGTATTACACTGACCACACTGTTAATTCCCCTCCTATTGCCTCAGTAATGACATCAGTCCTTCTATACAACAGTGGTTTTCATCAATGGAATTCAAAATGTATTTTGGGCCTATTATTTGTCAGCACAATCCTATTGAGCTTCTTAGCACCCCAAAGACTGGATGCAAAACCTGGTGCATTTGCTATGCCACACCAGGGTCACCACTGCTGATTTTGACACAGAAGAGGATGTCCAAGTAACACAAACGCCACCCCTCTTCCTTCTCCTCCTCATGTTCCACTGTCCTACTGAATCACTGAGTTAGTCCCTTCCAGCCTGGTCACTTTTGCTCTTTCACTCTGTCCCTTATTGAACAGTTCACAGATTAAACAGAAAAGCAGAACCTCTGAAAGCCAAACAAAAGGCTTTATAGCATGTTTAGAGTGAAGTCAAGGTCACTTTCCCACACTTGGCACAAGCACCCTCAAAGAACGGCAGCAATCCCGTCATGGGATTCACCTCATGTAACTGAACCAGGCCATGACAACTCCTTTACAGTCTCCACAAATGCTATAAAACAGCATTTCTGGAGTGTGATTTTTCTCATTCTAATATAAATATTTGGAACAGGTAATAAATTGCCCTCTAGAGACACCCATTTCCTGCACTGACCATAGAGAGATCCCACAGGGATGCTGTTGTGGACATCTGCAACATCTAGTTAGAGGCAGATTAATTGTACACCAGGGGTTTGAGGAAAAAAAGCCATCTGCTATGACAGTGCTCCAATTCTTTGAGCTTGGTGCTCAAAACAGCAACCCTGATCCCCCACTGCAAAAAGCCAAGCCTGGGCTTTGGTAAGACCCAGGACCTGAATGGAGTTTCACTGACCACCCACCCTTCACTTCAGCTTCAAACTAGTTTTACAGTTTCATAAATGGCTGCCTAGAGATCAAAATTGTTTTAAAATCACAGCTAGTGTTTCTTGATAGTGATATAGAATGAGAGACATAACTGTTAAAAAACCCCAACAGCCTACAACTGTAGATTTTCCCACAAAGGGCCTGACTGATAAACCCATCCCAGCCCAGTGAGAGATACAATATTTGGCACAGTTGTCAACTTGTGTGATCACCAAGTCTCCCATGTGCAGAAATTTTCTACTTAGATGCCTCCAGAGGATTTATTTAACTGAGGGAATGGACAGGTTTGGGGCTTTTTTTTTCTTCTCTGTTTTTCAGGCTGTGAATTAAATCCACACACTTGAAAAAAGCTACAAATATCAACTACTAAATAGCCCTACTAAATGTGTTAAATAGATTTACCAAATAAATACACGTATCTCCCTCTGAGTCACAGGAAACATTAAATGGAAAAGCCTTTCACCTCACACACCAGACCCAGCAGGAGGCTTTCTCCTGGCTGCACTGTCCCCACTGACCTACGCCCAGATCTGCACACACAAATCCCAGTCACAAAGAAAGGGTTACAGATAATCAGAGCAGCTTGCTAAGCATTCAGCCTGGCACATTTATCATGTTCAGCTGAGCACATTTCTCATGTTTGCAGTAAGAGCATTCCCTTGACTTTTCAAGCATACAGAAATATGTTACATGAGACAGCTGTGGAAAAGTAGGCTTATTAGGCTGAAGTGGAATTACTTGTAGATAAAGCAACAAACAGTTATCTGTGTTTAAATGAAGGAATTCCATTAGGTTTGGACTGAAGGGTGCCAGAACACCATCCTTTTGCTGTACAATAATGTTTTGAATCCCCAAGTCACTCCTTTCACACACTCCACTCTTTACTGTGAGTGTCAGCAAGCTCTCAATAGCTCACAAAAACCCAGCAATGCCTCTAAGTTCAGTTACCTACCAGCTCTGGGGGCCATTCAGCTCCCCAGTGCTGATACATGTGCTTCACAAAACAAACTCACTCTGCAGTGTTACAGCACAGGCTTTAGTGCCTTTCCAAGATCAGGAATGTACATTCTGTACTAGGGCAGACTATGGCTGAGGCCAGCAACGTAACAAACAACACAAAATTTCACAACAGGCACTTGAATGCAGTCCTACCTTGATATAGTGGTCAATCCTCTCCACCGAGGTGAAACGAGCTTCTGTCTCTGAAGCCAGTCTGACTGTAAACTGGAATAACCCTGTTAACTGAAGAGGTGAAAGAAAACAGATTTTTAGAGCTGTGACTTGTTATTGAATTAAGATATGAATGTGGCCAGCAGGAGCAGGGCTGTGACTGTACTTGGGACTGGTGAGGTCACACCTTGAACCCCGTGTTCAGTTTTGGACCCCTCACTACAGCACAGATATTGAGGTGAAGGAACATGCCCAGAGAAGGGCAACAAGAACTGGGAAGGGTCTGGAGTCCTGTGAGGAGCAGCTGAGGGAGGTCAGGGGCTCAGCCTGGAGAAGATGAGGCTCAGGGGGAGCTTATCACTCTTTACAACTCCCTGAAAGGAGGGTGTAGCCCTCCTCCAAACCCAGGTGGGGTTTGCTCTCTTCTCCCACTTAACAAGCAATAGGACAAGAGGAAACAACTTCAAGTCATGCCAGGAGGTTTAGATTGGATATTAGGAACATTTCTTTACTAAAAGAGTTGCCAAGCAGTGAGACTACCCAGGGGAGTGGTGGAGTCACCATTCCTGGAGGTATTTAAAAGTTGTGTAGATGTGGCACATGAGGACATGATTTAGTGATGGGTTTGGCATTGCTGAGGTAATAGTTGGACTCAATGACCTTTATTGCTGTTTTCCAACCAGAAGAATTCGATGATATTTGATATTCTTGACATCAGGCACCATATAACTAAAGTGTTCAATGCAAGTTAATTAAATAGTTCATTTTAAAATCACCATAATTTATGAATCCCTTGAGAAACCAGCAGCTTAGAAACTTTTCCCAAGAGCAACAGTATGAGGTGTCTAAGCTCTTCAATTTCCCCTGGGCGCCACAAGGAGGCAGAAGAGGCCAAAGAGCAGCTCCAACCCGAATGCTCAGAGCCCTGCAGCTCCTTTGAGCCAGCGCTGGATGCTGTTTGCTCATTAGCAAGATCTACATTAAAAGATAAATTAAATATTACAGTATGGGGTCACACTCACCTGCACAGCATAGGAGATGGCCAGGCCAGCATAGGCAGGAGGGATCTGGCCATGCATCAGGACAATCATAAGGCCAGTGGTTGTGATGAGGGCAATGCTGATGATGTCCAGGCGCACGGCCAGCCAGCGCATCGCGCAGCTGAACAGGTAAAACGGGGCCTGGTTGTCATCCAGCAGCTCCTGGTACCTGCAACAAACACAGAAAAGGTTAGTAGACTCCATGAGCCTCATGTTCTACAAATATCAGACCACTTAAACTCCTGTTCCAGTATCAGGATTCAATGTGGAAACTCGTCACTGACCAAATTCCAAACCAAAACATGATGGCAGGGATTGCAAACTTTCCCCACCACTGCTCTTCCCAGTTTTCCCTTCCTTCTGTTCTCCCAATTTTTTTCCCCAGAAAAGTAACTTTCAGTCATAGAACCAATGATCCATCAGACTCCAGTAATAAACCCTTCTCAATGCCAGAAGCTGTTGCATTCAGCTTTGTGCCCCACCATTCCCCACTGACCTGTGCAGAAATTCCTGTCCTTTGTGGTAGGCATGGATTGTGGAGAGACCCTGGATGCTAGATGTAATGTGAGACAAGAATGGAGACTGTGTGATGTTGTCCAGACGCTTGAGCTCTCGAATAAAGACTCTGGAAGGAAAGAAGCACTTTGAGTTTTGTGCAGAACCACCATGTGCCAACCACTATGTTGTACTTGAAGGTGAAAGTATCTGTTCTTGCAGCCAAAGCAGCTGGTGCACTTACCTAGACACGACATGCAGAACTGTGAACAGGACAATGAGGGGCCCCACTGCCACCAGGAACCAGGGGAAAACCCCAGAAATCACCCCCACACAGAAGAACACAAGGATGACATTCTGGATGAACATTTCCGCTTGAAACGGCAAACGAACGTCAACTGAGGAAATGGAAGGAAAAGAGGAAGATCTTGAGTACAGAAAACTAAAACAACCCATGGAAATCAACTCAGTCCAGCTGTACCTCAGTAACAAACATGGAGATTTATCTTAGTTTATTCAAATTAGAAATGTACATTTTTATTGGGATGTTTTTACCTTCTGTTACTTGCAGTCTAATTACTCCCATTTGCAGAAACAGCATTGATGTAACTCTGGCCTAATTACCACCTCTGCTGCACATCAGCTTTACTCTAATGTTTTAAGTTGCTCCTGCATTAACTGCTGAGAGCCCATGAGCAGCCTGAAGCTACAACAGCAGCAGCACATTTCCTTCTTCATAAGTGGAGTGGATGCTCAGACCTGAGCTATCAGCTGCCCTCTGGAATCATAACCCCAATTCCTGCTTTGTTTATTCCAAGTGCACATTTGGCAACAGATATAGGGTACAATCACCCCAACAGCAACAGACCTGAGAGTGTTCAGGGCCTAACAGGGAGGTCTGAATGTGGGATTTACAGGGCACACAGTGAGAGATACCTTCATCCATGTCTTTGGAAAACCTGTTGAGGATCCTCCCAGTGGGTGTAGTGTCAAAGAACTTCATGGGGCTACGCAGAATCCGTCGGAAGAGCTCATCATGGAGCCTTGAGGATGCTCTGAGAGTTCCCTGACAACACAGAAAACATTGCAGGGTTGTAAAGCAGTGTTTGCCTTCCTGCCACCCAAATATTCTACTCCATTTCTCTCCAACCATAAGAGGATTTTACTGCTTCCAACCAATGAAGGAAGCTATTAATTTGACCAGAAGTTCAGCAGAAACATGGTGCAGCTTGAAGAGCTGGCTATGGAAATATTACAATCCATGATTGAGTCTGGTTCACAAGTCTCTCAGGAGATGACCAAAAAAACCACAGAGACAACAATTTGCAGAAGCAAGAGTAGGGGGGAGACCAACACCAGCACTGGCACCTACCTTTACAAACACCACCCCACGAACAGCTTTCAGGATCAACATAACTGCCATAGACAGTGCATAGATGCCAGCATAGTAATGCATGTGAGGGTTATCTTTCATACTGTTGCTTATGACAGTCTCATTTCCCAAAGTCACAGTGGTGTTCTGCAGAAAATTCAAGGTTTCAGAGATTAGTTAAGACAAGGATGAAGCATGTATACATTACATGTGGTAGACTTTAACTGCCTTGTCTCTTCTCCCACTATATTTGATATTTCATGTTTAAAGTACTTCAGTGATCATTGAATACATCAGAAACTTTTCCCTGGCAGAGATGCTTGACTTGTAGATTTGTACCCCTTGATCTTTTTCCTACAATATCTTTCAAAATACTACCACAATGCTTATTTAATTTGATTCCTAATCTCTCATTTCATGCTTATTTCTTGTGTTCTTCTGAACAATGTCAGATACGTGGATACCACCACACAGCCATATTCACCTTGGACAGACCTTTATCAAACACCTATTTCTGCCATTATGAAATAAATTCTTTACTGTCCCACTGTTATTCATTCTCATTCATTCTTGATCTTTAAGTATGTTTAAGGACCTCATTGCTGATTCTAATATTGTTGGCCATCTGCACTTCATTATTTCATCTCTGAGATAAGTACCTTGCTCTCTGTGCCCCCACAAAAAAACTCATGTAGTTATATTTGGATTTTTGAATGCAACAAGACTTGCAATCAAAGCCTAAGAGTGATAAAAAGCCCAAACCATCCCAGGTCATCAGAATCTTCAAAGCAATTTCCAAAAGGCATTTGACTCAAAGCCATATTTTAACAAAAATTTTCCTTTTAGGTATAACATCACATTTAAACAAAACACAATACTAAAATTAGCTTCTTGGCTCTTTTCATATTTTCACTTCCTTTTCTTAGACTAACCAGGAAATGGAACAAGAGGGCAGCATTAAACCACGTAAGTTATTATATCTTTCTTATTACTGGAACTCTCTTATTCTTGGAGATGAACTCCCTCCTGAGAGCACTTCCTGGGGAGCCTTACAACTTATTTAAATTAGGAAGCACCATTTGGTCTCACAGGACTGCTTGGGATTAGTCTAGCAGAGCAAACCCCCAGCTCATTAGACACAAGAGTAAAAACCTATTGAACTTACTCCACTGCCTTGCTTGATCCAGAAACTCAGCCACCAATTGCTAAAAGCTGTGCTGCCCACATTTAGCACAAACAGTGCCATGATGATGAGGAATGCAAAGGGGCCTCCAGCTGCCTGAATGTAGACACCATAAACAGACCAGGGCACAGAACCTTTGCCTTTCTCTTCCAACTGGACCAACTGGCCTGAGAAACAACACGAGATGAAGAGGAAATGAGGAAAGTTCTTCCATGAAACTCCTATAAATTTGTAAACACTCACAAAATTAGTCTTTCAAATGGTGCAGAGTACCTTCAGAAACACACACTTTACATCATGCTTAGAACTCAGTAGCTCAAACAGTTTTTCAAGAAGTCACATTTCCTCTGCAGAATCAATTAAGTTATGGTACAGCTGAAAAAGCCTCATCAGCAGAGACTTAAATGTTAGGCTGGGATCAGCCTCACTATTGTTTTTTAAACCCTGAAGTTCAAAGCTAACATTAAACACAACTACAGAGGTCAGACCTTCCCTTCATCCATAAATGCCATGTCCTGCCCAGGACTGAGTGCCAAGCTGTACACATGGCCCTCTTAGGACAGGAGGGAGAGGTGGTGTGGGAGACAAGGCAGTACCAGCTCCTTTGTGCTAATGGCATCTGACTGAACTTAAAAACATTGTACAGGCACCCACATTTAATGAATTAATGAATGTTCTTTGCCCACTGCCTGTCTCCCATCAACCACACTAAGTGATTAGGATTGAGACAGCTTCCAAAACCTGAGAGGTACATTAACAATATACTTTGAAGCACATGTTTTGAGCTTATTTGAGTATAAAATAATTACAGCCAGAAATTTGATTACATAGTTACCCTCTTCTTCCTTCTTTACAACCTTCTCCTTCTTCACAGACCCTGTTTTGGTACATTTATCCTGGGGCCTCTTCAATGAATTGTTTGTGTTCTTCTTTATATTAATCTGCAGGAAAACAATGACACTGAACAGAGTAGTTGGCTTTGACATTTTCATAACTAAACACAAACTTTTATTTATCTGCCACCTAAGGAAAAAGGCTTTCAGTAGCTCAGCATTCACATCAAGGAGGATATTAACTTCAGAGTTACTACAGATGATTGCCAACTCTGGTGGATTAAGTTTTCCTCCTCTATTTATCTGAACTACTACCAACCTGTACAGGTGGGGTGCAAGGGTAATTTCCAGGATCAGTGAAATTATGAGTGTACATGGTAGAGGAATGATATCCCTACTACTGCAAGAAAGATATAACCTCCCTATCCCTTGTAAAAATAACTCACACCTTTTTAAAGAGGCTTTTTTCCCCAACCACCCTAGCACTTAGAGACATTTCATGAGAGCTTTCTTAAGAAAAGTCAGGTTAACTTGATCTTCCAGAAATCCAATATCCAAACACCAAAGTGACACACAAGCACTGTTCTAAACCCAGCCATCTTTCCATAACTGGGAGCTACTGCCTGTTCAGAGTCAGCCCACATGGACTGAAATCCCTTACACACCATGTTCAGGGCTGCCTTCCCACACTTCACACGAGATCAAACCACAGAGAATCCAAGTGATCATCCATTTATTCTTATCCCACAGGGAATGCAATTTAATGGTCTTTCCGTGAGCTAATGTTTACAGCAACATTGAAGGTCAACCAAGCATGAAAACTGGAGAATCTCTTGTTCACTATCATTATATTAGTATTAAAATGGCAGAACTATTATCTCCATGCCTCAAAGGATATGCAGAGCAATGCTTTATATCCTTTTGCTTCTTTCACAAATATCTCCCAGGAGAATGTGTCACCAAACTCCTTCTATATTTGTAATTCCTATAATGCTTCCTTCTCAGAAATGTTTTGTTTTAAATGTCTCATGAGTAAGGAGCCTCTCATCTCTTAAAAAATAAACTGTTGTTGTACTTTTAATCTTTTCTTTCTAAGAGAAAATGCACACAAAATTTTGACAAGTTATTATAAATCAAAATCCCAAGGTCCTTACTCTAGAGATTAACTTCAGGAAACAAAGAGCAGAAGGGTGGGGAAAATTAAATTGCTGGAAATTTAGATGTTGTTGTACTAAATGTTTCTTGTTATTTTCTAGATTTACAATTTTTCCACCAACTGAAATACTAGAGCACATATTCAAGTTTGCATTTACAGACTTTTTCATAACAGAATTAGTCAAAGCAAAACATTTTTTCCTCAAACTCCCCCAAAACACAGCATTTTCAATTATGCTTCCAAAATACTGTCACATCTAACTTTTGACAAGTTGTGTCACACCTGCTGTGCCTCAGTCACACTCCATTGAAAACACAGTAACAAGCCAGTAAGAATTTTTTCAGACAAAGATTGTTGAAGATCTGCACTAATTCAGAGGTAAATTAAGGAGTGGAGCGTACAGTAAGAGAAGAACTTCCTGCTCTGAGCATCACCAGGGGACACACTATAATATTTTCATTATTAACTCATGAGCTCATTGGCAGAGTCCTCTCTAGCACAGATCCCCTAAAAACAAACTGTGACAAAGTGCTAATGAAGCAGAGATTATTCTGTAGGAAATCTATTGGTCAGATCAACACATGAAAATGTGTGAAGCCATTTTCTACATTTCCAACAACATCACTTGGTTCACCTCAGAATAGTCAAGATTCAGAGCACTTTAAAATAAACAAGTACCTCGATATGTGGTGTTTCTCCCAGCTGTAGACTATTAAAAATAGTTGCATAATCCCCATTTAAATTCATCAGCTCCTCATGACTGCCTCGCTCGGTAATGCAGCCTTCTTTCATGAAGATCACTTCATCACAGTCAACAAGATACTGGGGAAAGTGGCAGCAAGAACAAGTCTCTATCACCATGTTCAGTAACCAAACACTCCCACACAGCCCTTCTCAGCAGCTTGTAGAAACTGGCACACAGCACAACTATGCCCACACAACAGAAAGCTGATTTACAGAGGTCCTCCTCTGACTAGAGCACCATGATTACTCACACTACACAAATGAAAAGTTTTTGTCTCCTATCAAAACCAATCTCTTCTGGAAGACATGACTCAGGATACTTAAACACTGCAAATACTGATAGAATAAGCACTAATATCTTTATGCACAGAAGACAGCAAAAAATCTCAGATACATCAATTCTGATTTACTAACACCAAATACAACTGTTTCTGCTGTGATGAAATAGCTTTATAGCAAGTTAGCAAAAATATTTTTGAGCATGTATTTATTTCTCTGGTAAATTTTCCTTAGCCAAGGGTTAACATTTCCAGTCAGACACCAAGCAGCACTGGTATCAAATAATAAAACTGAGCTCAGTGCACATTTGCAAAGCTAGTTTATAAATGTAAACCACATATTCTACACACAGAGGGTTGTCCTGTCACAGGTCAGGGCACAGAAATTTCCAGTATGAAGGCAACTGATTAACAAACCATTTCAACAAAGTCCCAGTAAGAAAGTAGCAGAGATTCAGTACCTGAAGCTGATGTGTGATGAAAAGGACAGTCTTTGACTTCAGGTGCTTCCTTATTGCACTGTTAAAAATGTGATTTCCAACGTGAGCATCTAAGGCACTAAGGGGGTCATCGAGGATGTAAATGTCCCTGTCACTGTACAGGGCTCGAGCCAGACTGATTCTCTGACGCTGTCCCCCACTCAGGTTAGCCCCTCGTTCACCAATCTGCAGAGACACACACCCATCATTTTATTTCTTCAGCACCATGCAACATGGATTACCAGATTAAGCAGACCATGACACTCATTTGTATATATTTTTATACATATATTCCCCCACAACATTTTATATTAATACATATATGTATTCAAGTTTAAGTGTCCACTTTGTGACGTGTTATACATTCAAACTCAAGCTTAATATGCTTGAAATGTGGTAGTACTTTCTTTGCTTATTTTACCTTTTATGAATTAATATAGCCATTTTTTTTCGTAGCTATTTTAAATTGAGTTCAATTAGGTCCTGTTAAGGCAGCTAAATTTACAACACAATAAAAAAAATCCAAAACAGTAAACATCTGAGTAAAAAACAGGGTACAACTCTTAACAGTCCAGGGCCCACTAAGATAGCTCAACAGAATGCATTCAATAGCTTGGCTCATATGTACCCCAAGTTGAGTAAAAAACAGGGTACAACTCTTAACAGTCCAGGGCCCACTAAGGTCAGCTCAAGAGAATTCATTCAATAGCTTGGCTCATATGCACCCCAAGAGATGTACCCTCATTCCAGTTTACCCTGCCAAACCAAAACTCTTTTCCCCCTCTATTAATTAGTTTAGTATAAGCAAAACATACCTCTGTCAGGTCCCCATTTGGAAGGATGGCCAGGTCAGGCCTTAGACAGCAACCATTCAGCACCGTATTGTATCTGAAGAACAAAGAGATAGTTAAGAACACTGATTTCCCTCACAATTATTTAACTAGTACAGCATTATATCAATTTCTACACTAATAGCAGATATTCCAGCAGCCTACAACAAATTATGTGTCTTGGAGTATCAGGAGAAAACTGAGGGTAATAATTAATCACCTACTTCAAAAGCATTGTGAGGACAAAGAGACAATTTGTTTTCAGGGATAGTTGGCTAAGGGAGAGTCCCATAGTGGAGGGGGGCCACGGAAGATATCAGTACATTGCACATAGCAGTTGTGTTTGAAGAGGGCAAGGCCAGGACAGCCAGAGCAAATACCACTTCAGTGCTGCCCACAGCAGCTGCTGGTTTTAACCAGAGGTCCAGGATGAGGCTCACCCTCACTGCAAGGAGCAGGGCCAGGCACACTGACAGCCACCAGGCACAGGGCCACATGCAAGAGGGGCAGGATCCCAAATGGGACTCAGCGGAGACTTAGAGACAGACTCCAGAAGTGAAAGAGACTTTATCAGCAGCGTACCCTGCATTAAATTCTTCCCACACTTGGGCCAAGAATCACTAAGCTCTCATGAAAATCAGCAAGCAGTGTGACAGACCTTTCCTCGTCGTACTCCTTGCCAAAGAGGATGTTGTCCCGCAGAGTGGCGTTGAGGATCCAGGCCTGCTGGGCCACGTACGCGAAGCTCCCGCTCACTGCGATGCTGCCCTCCAGCAGGGTCATCTGCAGTACACACCACCTGTGAGATCATGCTACCCCGTGCTTACAACACACTGCATTCTACAGAGCACAAACAAGTGAAATGGAGATGGGAAAGAAGAGCAGAAATACTCAAAACGGGATTTCTCACCTGTCCTAAAATTGCTGAGATAAGTGAAGTTTTTCCGCTCCCCACACTGCCACAAATTCCAACAAGTTTTCCCTATGCAGAAAGGAAAAAAATTATGGTACTCATTTCATAAGTTCATCATCCCTTTCAGAATTCAGGCTACCTTTAGTATCTCTGAGAGGACAGGTGGATATAAATGACATCTCTAAAGTGACATAACAGACAAAAAAAGCAAGAGTCAGCATCTTAACGCTCAAATTGTACACAGTGAACACAAGCCCACAGTGAAATAAAACTGAAATCAACTCTACAAGTGAAAATAAAGGTGTTTGAAGATCAGCTTCCTTCTTACTAGGGTTACAGGCCCAGAGGATCAATAAACCAAAAGCACCAAGGCCTGCCTGAACAGAATGCACCAAGATGCTTTTGAGAGTGATAAGGAAAGAGGAAAAGTCTGAAAGAAAAGAGAATTTAGCAAATATGGGTCCAGTCAAACTCCTCGCCAATTAGACCCAATTTGCTAGAGAACATGTACCAAGAAAATACTATAATTTAGTCACTTTGAAGAATTTCTCTGCAATAGAATAAGTGGGTTAATACCCACATTAAACAATTAATTTATTAAGACTACTTTTATTCCTTTTGTAAAAAATGTAAAGTGAACAAGAAAGGTATATAGACACTTATGGAACACATTACTGGCCTTCTCTTGATAGCAGAGAAAGACAAACCAGCTTTTTTTTCCTACTTCTGAGACAAAACCAGCCTTTACATTTCCAAGTAACTGTACTCCTATTTGAGGCAATTTTTTAAACTATATGCGTTTTCCCCCAGAGTTTAAAATATAGGTATTTTTACTGTTTAAAATAGTTTAAACTATTAAACTATCCCTCTATTTTTGTAACTACATAAGACAATTTAACCATGAATACCTTCATAAATATATGGATGCCATTATTACAGCATCCAACTGCCAGACTGCAAAGCTTTTGTGTGTGTAGATAATGTCATGTATTAAGTTCAATGCTTTTTCTTTAACATCTTACATGCTCTTACCCACCTTGGAGCAATAGCTCCAAAAGCTTCTACAGTTCTTGAAAAACTGCATCCACCTGTACAAAAATTCTCAAGAAAGAAAATTGCACATTCTTCAATGAAAAGCACTATTATGCTCCACTGGAACACCTAATCACCTAAAGTGCTCACCCAGAACACAGATGAAACTGCAAAATTATCAAACCACTGCAGGAACACACTGTTCACCAGCAGCCCACTGGTGCCCTGCAGATTCTCTAAGCTCAGTGGCTCACACTCTGTCCTAGGAGCTGCAAACCCCTCAGCTGGATGTGGAAGCTACACAGCCTGCCCTTGTTTCACAGGCTGTTTGCAAAGATGTAGCTGCTAAAATGGCCCAGCTGTTTACAGCAAGATCAGACACTGCATCCTGGATACTGCAGTTGCCATGGATATTACAGGAGTGCACAAAAGCAATATGTTCCATTTCATGCAAAGTGAAACAGCAGACAGCTCTGTTCCAGGGGACAGCTATAATGAGGCCTTTGAAAAGCTCAGCTTTCCTCCTTTCATTTCTTCTTTCTTACCTTTTCTATCTCCAAGTCAATGTTGTACAGAGTCCTCTGAAGCCGAAGGCTAACCAGGTGGATGATTTTGTGCTCCTCTTCGGGGCTGTGATGGTCATCACTGTCCACTAGAAGATGGCCCTTCTGCTCTGCCAGCACAGCTTGCTGTCCCTCATTCTGTAGCTTCATTTTCTCTTTCTTGCTCTTGGTGCCTTTCTTGTCTTTTTTCACTTTGGGGGTCAGCTTTGGTGAGCTCTGGACGCTGGCGTGGGAGAAGTCCCAAGCCAAGGTAGCATTTTTCACCTCTATCGCGGTGTGAGGATTGGCTGGTTTTTTCTTTATCATATGAACCTCTTCCATTAGAAATAAACTCTGATAGGAGTTGTGAGAGAGGTGTAAAGATGAGACACCTGATCAAGACTGGGAGACAAGCCTACGGCACACTCACGCAGCAAAACACATCAGGCTATATAGTAGGAGGAAGCTGAAGAGCAAAAGGTAGCTCATTAGTGTAAACTAACTCCAGGTCTGCTAAGTGGCTGGGGCATTCCTGGATGTGGTGGAAGCACTTGGATACACTTGACTTTCACAGAACTGCAATACTCTGGATGTGATGTGACAGGCCTTCTTCCTTTGACACTGTTTGCAACTGCAGCTCTGTATGTTCCAGATGAAAAACACACGAGCAGAACACACAGGCTGGAGAGGAGAGGTCACTTGGGACAAAGTGACTGACTTGTCCTGCACACCAAATCATTATGGAAGGAGACAAAATGGCTTTTAACTTGAGCCTTTATCCATCAGTTTTTCTGCTGGGAAAAAGTCATCTTGCACAAGTGTAACTGATCTACCTGAGACTGCTTGGCAAGAAGTCAGTCAACTGTATCACGTTTTCCACCACATCCATCAGTATTTACAATCAACAGATTAGGAAGACATTTTTCACACAGTTTAATTACAAGATAAAATGCTTGCCACGTAAACAATTTGTTTTGAACCAAGTAGTTTTTTGTGACTAAAACTTCTCAATTCCCAGCTTTATTTATTCTCGCAATTGCTGTGTCTGAATCACACATTCATAAGAAAGCTCATACTCATTTACAGAGCCAAAACGTCAATTAAATTTTTACTGTGATGTCAGAGTATCCTCACCTTATGTTACATTTCCTACACAATTTATAGACAAACTGGGAGAAATTCAATCTCTTTTCCTTCTCTTCCCTCCCACAAAATTCCCTTTAGTGCACTTAGATTTAAGCAAGGCTGATTTTAGGCTGACTCAGAAGATGAAGCAAAATTGCTCAAAAGCAATGGAATCTCAAAAAATCACTCTACAGATCCTGGTTTTCTCACACAGAAAATTCATTTGTTTCATGAATGCATTACAGAGAATCCATGTATCTGTCAATGCTTGTGAAAGTTTCTATTTGCAAAGTGCTATTTTCCATTCTGGAAATTTCCACAATGTGTAATGCACTGTTATCTTCAAGAGACAAGACAAAGTAAAGGTCTCCCCTCTGAGTTCATAAAGTACACAGTGTATTCATCCTCCAATCCCCATGATGGAAGATAAGACTGTTCATTATCAGGGTTTTACATTTTCTGCCATAGATCTCTTTTGCCAGATCACAACTCCATTTTACTGATATAGAGGAATTTCAGTCACTTAATCTGGTCTGGAAACATAAAACCTCAGGGTTCTATGATCACAGATAAAACCCCACTGTTTTTTGTTAACTGCTTACCTAACACCTGATATTTTCAAAAAGCTTTATTAGCAAAGCATAAAATTCCACTGTACACATCTTGCAGTCTTTTCATATAGATGTTCTTAAAATGGAATTAAAAATTAATATACAGTGAACCATTGAGTCCTTCACTCATCTCTTCCTGTGGCCAACTTCAAAATCATTAAATCTTTGAATCAGACTATTTTGCTTCTCACACTGGTATTATTTTATTCTTAAACTGCTAATATTCCTTCACTACATTTGTATCTCTTGAAGAATCAAATAATCTAAATGCTAAGTGTAAAGAAATAAAACTTCTCTGCCATTAAAATCATATTACCTTCCAAGTGCTCCCTTTGCATCTACTGAACACATACAACACTCCACACTTACAGAGAAAACTGAGGCCAGAGGACTGCTTACCTTAAATCTGTCAACAGAAACAGATGCCTCAGACAGAGACTTCACTGAGAACGGAGTTACTTTGAGAGCAAAAGTCATTGAGTTAAAGACAGTGACCACTGTGAATGCCTAAAAATGAGACAAGGAAAATAATGACACCTGGATGCAATATTCTAACAGCTCCAGCCTTCTAAAAGCTGAAATGGCACAGCAGCAAGTCAAAACCATAGAGAAGGCCCAGTCCAAGAACAACCATTTAAATATTCAACACATTCTCAAACAGCAGATCTACGCAACTCCTTCTATAGTGCTTTTAACAGACCATGACAAACTTGTTCTGTTTGTAGGTCAAATTCTGCATTAACCTACTAGTGAAGGCAAATTGAAATCCTATTTTTAGACATTTGTGCTGTTTGCATCCAAGCACACTGCAAAACAAAAACATTCAGTAATCCCCAGTGCCCCATCCAAACAGGAGGATTTATTTACATTCAGCCCAAAACCTGCTCTGAGGAAGGTCAGGACAACAGAGCACTCAGAGCCTTTTGTGCAAGACTCCACCTGCTGCTGTCACAGCCATCAGGTGTGTGAGTGAGGATAGAGCCTGGCCACATGGGCACAGCCACACAAGAAATGGCTCAGCAGAAAAGCCACAGAAGCAAAAGCATAAAGAATATTTCCAACAACTTACCTGAGCTGCTGTAAGGTCGTAGCCAAGGATCATATGGACAGAAAAGGTCACCACACTGGCAATGACAACAACAATGGGAGCCACTCCCACAGTGATGCTCTGGAAGTAACCTGCACGCTCCAAGATTTTGCGTTCTTCCTCACGGATTTCTAGAAATACAAAGAGGGGCACCACGTTTGAACTGTGATTCAGGGGGTACATACACAAAACAGACAGTACCATAGCACTACAAACACTGAGTAAGAGGCCTAACTCTACACTTCAGTGTTTATTACATTATAAATATTCTCATAAAGTAATTATAGAGGAGGACACTGTAACTAATGGTCTAATCTCCACACAAATATAGGGATTTTGTAAATTATAAAAGAGGAACAAAATTGAAAAATTTAAGATTAGTATCATGCCACAAACATTATTACACAAGAAGGTGAAAGTTTAGAAGCAGGTCTGTTTGTCCAACCCACTGTGCATAGCAGAGGAGCCTGAAGGATGAGTGTTCTTACACTGCTCGTACAGCAGCACCTACAGCACAAAGTCAGGATGCACCAGGCTACAAAGCAGTGGGGCATCTGCAGCAAAGGAGACTTTGGGATTTACAGACTGTGGGAACTCACTTTGAACATTCTGAGAAAACGGTTTGACCCAGGCATACATTTTAATGAATTTTATGTAATTAAGAACTTCGTTCATCTTTTGCACACGTTCATCTGTTGTTGCTACACATTTTCTTCTGAAATAAGCTGTGAGGCGCGACACAAACATCTGAAACAACAGACAACACCATGAAACATTAATGGCAACTCAGAAAAAGCAAGTACCTTAAATTCCTAATTATCAAAGAAAATTATCTTTTAATCTGAAAAGGGGATTCTTTTAATCTGAAAAGGGGATTCAGGGATAGGGCCAGGCAACTGCTGCTCTAACATAAAACTCAGGCTGGAAACACCATTCATTTCCTCCTGCCCCATCTGCACCAACATCAGGCTTGTGAGAGCAAATTTCAACAAAAATTTGAGAGAATAAAGGTGTGCACTTTTACCAGTATTGAATAGTACCAGTTCAGTTAAAGTTTCTGAAGCACAAAGGTAACCTAAAGACACATGAAGTTGACCCCCACTTGAGCCAGCCTTTTAACCTGATTCTGTAAGGCAAATCAGGACTTTGCCCAGTCAGTGCAATGCCACAAACTGGCTGAATCTAGCACATTTCAACACCTTTTATTCAGAACTACACATTTGTCTGACCTAAGAAAAATGAAGCAAGTCTTAATTCTTTCCAACTCACCATTGCTGGGTAGAAGAGGATGAAGACAGCAGATCCCAAGAAGCCTGTGGGACCCAGAATAATCACATTATAAACCATTCCCAAGATGGCCACAATAGGGCCCCCAGCCAACAAACTGCCAACCGCTGCAGCTTCAAACATCCTCTGACCATCATTGGAACAAACATTTATGAGCTGAAAAACAGAACAGATAATTTAGATTTAAGGCACAGCTCATTCCCAAAGGAATGTATTATACATCCCTTTTCACACTGCCATTTCCAAAACAAGGCTGCAGCTCACCTCTCCAAGAGACTTCTCCTTGATGTTCTTCAGCTTAAGGATTTTCTTGAAGGCCATTGTGAGGACAGCCCCGCGCAGTCTGACCCCCGTGCGATAGTTCAGCGCCCACGTCAGTGCCAGCGACCACGAGCGCACCACCTCCGTCATAAAGATGCCAAAAACTAAAAACAAGCTGTACTGCAGGTTGGACTCACTCTGCTGGGTATACTCCAAGAGGTGTTTCACAACGAAGGCCTACAGGAAGAAATGCAAGCTTGCATGAACACCCCATCATCCCGGAAGACCACACAACAACTTTATGTTAAGTTAGAAATAAGTAGGCTACTTTGCTTTTAAAAGAGCCGTTTGAAATAGAAAGCATCTTCTTTCCAGAAGTAAAAGGTGTCAATACAAGAAGTACTGTAACACAAGCCCTGCTGAGAGCCAAGCACTGAGTCAAATTTAGTAAGTAAAGAGAGTTTAATTTGGAGCCATATTCCTCGCAGCACGCTCCTAATCCTCCGTGTCTTCTAACTTAACATAAATGTGTCAGTTAGCTGAAAGCAATGCATTATCATATAGAAGAGTTTTAAAATATAGTCACTACTTATACATCTGCACACATTAAGAAACATTCCTTTACGTGACATTAAGACCTTTTTTATTTTATCTTTGGTTTGCTTCAAACGTGCTTATTTGATAAAAAGGAACAATGTACCTACAGTTGTAGAGGGGAAGAGTGAGAAGGACATTTGCAAAACATTCCTGGAAATAAACATCAGCAGTTTAATAGTAAAGAAAAAAACAAGCAGAAAGCACAAGGTAAGCAATACCACAAATCATTGGGGATAGGGAGAAAAAAAAAAAAAGACAAAAAAATTAACCATTCAATCCCTCCCCATACCCTCTTCCCCCAAGAACATAAACACTTTACCTCAGGAATCACATTTCAAACATCACCTGCAGAAAGAGGACAGCCCCCAGAACCACCAATTCCCAACTCCAGCTCTTTGTGGTCCAATGGCACAATACAACATTATACAACTCACAACCACCACAGCATTAAATATTATTAACTGCGAAACAATAGGCTTTTATTTGAAATGAAGAGTCATCTTAAATGGTAACATCTCAAAAACACTATACAACAGGTAGACCATTGTATAAAACATACAGTCTGCACATACAGGATAATTATAAAGGGCTAATATCTAACAGTCAGTCTTAGCTTCTAACAATTTAGATTTAAATCTATTCACAAAATTATAAAGATGAAAAACCAGAATGGTTTTTGTTCACGGAGTCCAAAAGAAGTCAAGCTTGAAGGCACCAACAGAGGAGGCTTCTGAGGCTGCTCAAATTCTGAAATCTGATTTCAAAAGTATCCTACAATAATGCTTCACAGACAGCAAGAGACTTCCTAGAGAGCTTTTCAACAAATGATGTTTAAAGATACTGGTGCTTTCTAGTACATAGTAGAGAATTACCTTTGCCCACAAGAAAAATCAACAAAAAAAACTGAGACCAAAGAAAATATTTGAGAAGCCTTTCACATCACAGTCCGTTGAAGTCCTCTTGGCTAAATCATATTTTGCAAGTAGGAGTTCTGCATAGTTTGAAGAGAGAAAAAAACCAAAACCCCACAACTCCAGCAAAGGTTTTGATAGCTACAGCCCAGCACCAAATAACAAAAAAAAAAAATCGAGATCAAATTCATCTGTTCAGAGGAAAATAATTCTGCACATCAGAACCAAGGAAACATGCTGTAAATAATTTTGCTCTTTTTCACAGGTGTGAATTAAAGCCAGATGTCCATCAGATTCTAGAATGGCCACTGAGAAAATTTACATACCGATCACTGAACAAATGTGAGGAGCTCACATTCACAGATCTATTGCGTTCCAACTTTCTCGTGATTTGATTTAATTTTACATTGACTGTTTGGATCACAATTGCATACAGTTGGTCTGCAGTTACTGTGGAGATTACTGACTTCTTTTTCCAGTATTCAATCCAACATATGCAACTGAGTCACTGAGCAATTGGGGTGAAAATCCCCCTTTTTCCTCACGAGCTGTAACTCAGCATGGTCGCAGACTGCAAGCATTTTCTCACACACCACAGCATTGCTGAAAGTCTCCAAGAGAGGATGTATAAAGATAGCAGATGTTTCCTGGGGTCTCATTCCTCCCAAAACTTTAGTGCAATTGTGCAGCACTATTTTATAGATTCAGCATCTCCCATGTTGAAATAGAGACCAGCTTACATTATAACCCAATTTATTTTTGTTCCGGAAGAAAGAAAAGAGGAAACAGCAGATTAAAGAATTTTGAAAAGGGAGGGGAAAAAAGTCACAGAAAATTAACATTTACATCTGAACAAGTACTATTCAAATTCATATTAGTTTAATGAAAAGAATCCAGCATAAAGTTATTTACAAAACAAAAACATTACAGCATATACACTAAGCTAAGGGGGAAAAAGAGCTCCTGTGGCTATTACCGTAGAGGTTGGTACAAGCTGCTCGGCTGTCTTAAGCATTCCCATGGAATAAACATAACCTTACCTTTGCTCTTGGCGGTGGCTCTGGCCAGCAGGAAAGCCTCATCCTGACGCAGAAAACAGCCATCCTGAAAATGCTGAAGAACAGCTTCTGTCACTGGTCCCACTGCAGTGCCGGCGTCCCTGCTGCAGCCAGCGCGCCACAGCACGGGGCAGGCTGCAGCTGGAGCCAAGGGGGAAACTGGAAAACTTACCTCCCACAGCTTACCACTCCCCCCTCCAGTAACTGACCAAACTGTCAAGCTGTGCTCCACTAAAATAGCAAGTTTCCCCATCTCCCAAATGGGAATAGCTCTGAACAGTAGCAAACAGGTACATTGTTCAGACCTGGAGTTAAACCAATTAGGTTTAGTAATGAAGAAACCTCTTTGCTCCTCCACCAGAACTTGAAAGTTTTGGTAGCTGATCAAACAGTAGCAAGTATTTATTGGAGATAAATAATATATCACCTTTACATTCTGATGGTTATTACAAGGCAGTTGGACACATGCAGCTGACTCACCAGGTTATAGGTTTAGATTCTGTGCCAGATGCAAAATGTATCAAAATAAAAAAAGAGGAAGACCCTTGAAGGATCTGATACCAAAAAAAAAAACCCAACCAAAGCAAAAGAGTCCACACAGGAAGTCTGGAACAACTCCTTTCCAGTTATAACCATCACAATGCTCATTAGCAAAGCCACAGCCATTTGCTGGCCTTTCAAGATCATAGACATTCAATTAAAATTTTTGAAGTTTAATATAGTGTTTAACTCCACTTTTATAATTTTCCTCCAATACATGAGGTCAAGTCAAGTGCTTTTCCTGATCTCTGTTCTCACCTTCAGGTGACTGAAAGGGTGTAACAACACAAGAAAGCACTGATACTTCTGGGGAGACAGCATAGGCATATCCCTGAGGCATGCCATTTTTAAAAACAGGGAGGAGGGATGGTAACGACTTATTCTCATGCCAAATTGTAGAACCAAAAAATGAATTGGGCCTTATTCAAAAAAATGAATAAGGCTGTCTGTAAATGGGCAACTGTCTATAGAAAATTTTAAGTTACCCATATCAAGCATCAATTGCAGCAGTAGCCCCCAGCATAATCAAGCTGGTTTGTTTTCTCCTTTCCCCTCTGGCTCTCTCTCAGCAGTTTGGCTGAGACAAATTGAGACCATTATACTACAGAAATTAGGGGTAACCCTGCTGCAAGTTACTTGCTAAAGATAAAAGCAGCTCCTCAAGCCCTGTAGTGAAACAATGACAGAAGCTCTTCTTGGGAAAAGCTAGTGCTGTTAAAACCTTAATCATAATTTATTGTTAATTACCAAAGTATGTTCATGTATTTTATAAAAAAGACAATTATAAAATATTACAAAGAAAACAATACCACAGAAACATTCATTGTTATTCATATTACATGAAACAAGGCAAACTTTAAGAAGACTTAAAAAACAGAACATCATTTTTTTGATAAGACATTTAAAATCAGGAAAACATTTTAAAAAGACATTTCACCTAACAGTGCACCCAAGTGTACTTACCCAAGAAATGAACCTCCAGCTTACCAGCACACTGAAACATGTACTACTAGCAGTAATACTGCTCCTACTCCTCAAGGGAAATGTGTAGAGAATAAATTTAGTCAAAATTTCAACTTTAAATCTGCACAGCACGTGCAACAAACAGGTGACAAAAAATGGTGTGAATGTCAAGTCCCATGTTGTTATCTTCAACACGACCCTTAGCAACAAGCAGCAGCCGTTCCTAGAGGCAACAACATTTTCTAACACTTCTACCTGAAACCTGTCTGGCCATTCTCTGTAGGATCAGTAAAGACTATGCCCACAGACTTCTTGAGACCTGCTCACATTAGTTTTTAGGCAGTGCTCTCACAGAACTGTTTTGGTCCACTTCTCGAAGACTTATTAATGTCAATAATTTAAGATCAGTGTTTTATCAGGCTGAATTTTATTCCAAGATAAATTTACAGAATTTCAAAGAGAAAAACAATTAGAAGACCTGCACATAAGAATCTTATGAAAAAACCAAGTTACACAGTTAAGGTTATGCAGTTAGGGGAGAACTTTAAACTACAATCAAAACCAAAGAGAAAAACCAAAAAGTCCATTTCCTCCAGGATACCTAAACTCCCTCTCCCTTCCCCAAGAACTTGCCTGGGTATTCAGCAACTGATCCATCAGCTGTAGGAATCCTATCCTGGATTATTGAATTGCTCTTGAATTCTACCCCAAAATTTCTAGCTAGTCAAAACATTTAAGTGATTCTGCAATGAAACCTTGACATTTTACAGTTGGCCATGAGATGGAGCCCTCTGGGGTTGTTAAAAAAAGGATGGATATTACTTACTGGTCCACTGAAACCTGCGAGCTGCGTGATCATCAGAGACACTATGGAAAGGATGAGCCTGGTGCGGCAGAAAATCCACACAACCCTCCGGAGAGAAGCATCATCAGGCCCATTTTCTTTTAGTTCTTCCTGCCACAGTCTTTCCAGCCTAATAAAAACAGAAGACTTAAGACATTTACTCATGTCATAAATTTTTCACCATGAGAGACGGTACAGTCTCATATGTACTTCTTTGTTAAAACTCTAAGTGCTTCCTAGCTCAGAACAACAAAAAATAATATTAAGAGAAATAAATACACTCTGTGAGGTAAAGAGAAAGATCTATGTGGTGTTACTTCCATAGAACAGAAGGATGAAAAACACAATGCTTTTTCTTTCCCTGAAGTCTCTTTGGCAATCATAATATACTGACAGTCTTTCTCTGCTAAACTGACTGAAGACTACAGAGTCAAAACCTGAAGAAATTCTCATTAACTATAGAAGGTAAGCCTGATCAGAAGATCTGATCCACATTCAAATCACTTTGCTACTGACAGTATTATTTCTCATTTTAGTTCAGGAATTTTTCACTGTAGCCTTAAGAAAAAAATTTGTTTTCATAAAAAGCCAGATTAAAGTCATGCAAAATCAGAATAATTGTAAGACACTCCGAAAGATGTAATCCCCCTAATTTCACTAAAATCAGCAAGGCTACAGAAACTGTGCTGAATGAGAAGGTTGTCTCTGAAAAATGAAAGTGAATTCCACCATTCTGAGAAAGGCAAAACAAAATCTCAGTGCTGCTCTTCTAGGGCAACACTATACCATTGCCTGCGTGTAATGACATGTAATAATTGGAAACAAGAAAATAATAACAAACTACGTGTCTTTACCTTCTGCAGTTGACATCTGAAGATTCGTGCCTTGATAAAGACCATACATCATCCATAAACAATTCCCCTTTCTTGTATGCTCTGTGGGCCAAAGGAGTGAGCCAGGAGAAGGTCATGGAGGAAAAAAGCCCAGATAACACAACCGGGTGCTGGTGTCTAAAAGAATTTAAAAAAAAAAGAAAAAGAAAAAGAAAAATCACAAACAAATGAAAGAGGAAACAGGAAATGTAAATCTTCAAGAAAAACAAAGCCTCCTCTCATTGAAAGCACTCAGAGTACTAAATGGTCCATGCCAGCCACACTTGCTAAACAAATTCTGATGTTTCCAGTACCAGTCAGCAGACCTACATCTGCAATTCTGCTTTGTCACTGGTTTGAAAAGCAAATGCTGTATCAGTTCTGTGGTAGCCTAAAGACGTACTTGGAAGTGGTCCGTATGGGTTTCAGTGCATTCAGACCATGGTGGTATTTGCCCTTGTGATGCTCTTCATCCAGCATTCTCAGCTGGGAATGCACAGAGATGTCCAGTGGCAGGCCCTCTGCCCGAGCTGCTGCTTCCAAGGCATCCTGGCATTCAATCTGCTTTTACAAGAAAGACAACAGATTCAGACTTCAAAACTACATTTGAAGTCCATGACTCCCATCTCCAGCAATTTTGCATCTCTTTCTTCTGCAAATTATTGTGCAACAATCACAGTCATTTCTATGTCTTAGACCACAGGCTTCATCCTGGCAGCAAAGCCATGGAAGGCACAGATTCTAGATCTGTGTTAGACTGCAGCATTTGTAAATTAGTACCAGTATTGCACCTGTGCATTCAAAGGATAAACTGAGAGACCACACTAATCCTGCCACAGGAAATACAATACAGAAAAATTACAACATCAAGTACCTATGATATCAGTACAGGAAGTCAATGACTGGCTTATGCAGTGAAATTAAGACATTTTCTTGATGAATTTACAAATTCAGATATTCTTATCCACAGAAAATACAAGGTGTTTTCAGAATGCTACTAAAGTCCCTTCTTCAAAAACACTTTAGATTAGATTTTTAAAACCTGCACCAAGCAGTATTGTACTTACTTTTATCATGTTTCCTGTTTTTTCTCTTTTTCCCTAATCTAAATGGAACAAAGACGACAATTTTCTCTGCTCCCAGGCACAATTTCTCAATGGCTCAGCGACTTTGGTAACAGCCACTTACTCAAAAGGCAAATCTTATCTCAGGGAGGGTTTCCACAGCCCCAGTGAAAGGCAGACTTAAATGCTAATCCAAGAGTGATCCAGCAGTGATACAGGATAGTCCAAATGTTGCAGAGTTTAAACAAATCTTTTGATGAGCAGTCAGATGTGGCAAAACTACAGAGGAGTTGAGCCTGTTATCTGTGCTGGCAGAGGGCCCTTGACTGGTTCTGCTAACTCCATGTGCCATTTATTGCAGGACCATGTTACCTGCTTGTATTCTAGTTTATTGCAACTGAGCTACTTTGTAGAAAAAAAACATTCTGAGGCAAAAATCCTCCTGAAGGTCTTACACAGATACTATGATTCTACCTTTATTAGTTGACTTACCAGAGCTAAGTTAGCTTATTTCCTTGAAAAGAAACAACTGTGATGCTTTGTAGCCTCCAACAAACACTAAATGCAAGCACTTGGTTCCTGATTTCCAAGTCGTGTTGTTGTTTTTGGAAATGTCACCATTTATCATGGTCTTTGTTACTATGTTAACAGGTAATAGTGTAGCACACTAAGATACTGTTTCCACCCATGAGAAGGATGAGAACAGGAAACTGAAAATGTCATCAATCTGTCCCTTATTTACGTAACTAAAATAGTTTAAAAGTGCCTAAGCATGTTGTCAGCAATCCACGGTTCTATCTCAAAAAACTTATTTGCTATCACCTAAAGCTACGGTAACAAAAGATAGCCAAATAATATGAAAACAAAAGAACATTAAAACCTTATGACACATAGAGTGACTCAAAAATACACAGTACTTGAAATCTGAATTAAAAGACTTCTCACTCAATTTATATTAAATTACTGACTCACTAAGGCAACACTGCCTTACTAAACCCTCTGCAAATCAGCATGAATAAGGGACCTGCCACAAACATCCCAAAGGAGCCAGTAGCAGGGAAGAGTTCTGCACCACCTCTTTTCTGGATACAGCAGAGGAATTTTTAACTGGTTTGTTGTGTTACCCTCACAAGAGGCCCAGGGCAGATCTGCCCAAACATCTTATTGCTGATAACACACTTGTTTCTAAGTGATGCCATAAGCTAGTTATATAAACATTGCTTTTCAGAGCACACAAAAAAGTGCCTAAGTAAAAAAAACTTCCAAAACAGAAAACTCTATGTTGATGAGCACAAAAATATATTTTCACCGGCTTAGAAACAAGAATAGCTTTTTAATAAGTAAGCACAATTGCAAGGGGTTTAGGCAGTCCAAAGATAATATTCATAAACAATCACTGTGAAAAATAATTAAACTCTCCAGAGCTGCTCAAGAGCTCTCTCAGCAAATGTGGGAAAGCTGCACTGATAAAGATGAGGGCACTGCCTTTGAAAGGCCTTTATAATGTCTTGCCATAGAGACAAATACAAGCACAGACCCCTCATTGAGAGCACTGCTCATCTCCATCTCGATGAGATTGTCAAAATCCCACATGTAAGACTGCCAAGAAACAAATGCATCGCACCACTGTGCAATTAAGATTTAAGAACAACTCCACAGTTCTGTGTAGTTCTCTGAAGATTAGAACATCTTCAAAGCACAGTTTATCAGGAAGAAGTGAGGCTCCTAAGTTGTTCTACAATGCACTTCAAGAACAAAAGACTGAAGTAGAAAAACCAAAACAACCCCAACAATTAATTTAGGTTTTTGATTAGGTTTTCTGATTGCCTGCATGTGTGCACAGTTTTCTTGGAAACCAATGCCTTGAGTCATTACCAATGTGCTACAACAGGCTCCAGCTCTGCTCTTGAAATAAATGTCAAATAAGCAAAAAGTAAGTTAAAATACACTTTTTCTAATTCATCAACTTATTAATATGCCAAAACAAGCAATGAAATGTGATACAACATGGTACTGATAACTCCAAAGAAATGCTCACAGAAACAAAAGTAGTCTAAATCAGATATTGCTAACTGGAAGATTCATCCAGACATTTATTGAGAAAAAGCAGATGATTACTCAGCAGCAACAAAAGGTCAAAAAAACAATGAAGAATTGTTACAAAAGACAAAGGATAAAGCAGAAATCATTACCATGACACTTAAACTCTAGGGTTTGCATCCTTTTTGAACACCAGACTCTTTAGTTCAAAAAAGGTATTAAACTTACTTTCTTTGATCAATAATAACAATGGGGCTTGGGATAGCATAAATTTAAGATTTTTCAGCTGGATAGATAAAAGGAATAAAGGTACAGTTATCTGAGAGGTCCATAAAGCCTGTTGAAAGAGAGTGTGACCACCAACTGTTCTTACAACAAAAGAACAAGGCACACTTAAATTTAGAAGTCTCTATCACAGGATACTGTAAGGTTCAAATTAATAAATGGATTAAACACTGGAGAAATAAACTCATATAGGATAAGCATACCATGGCTTACTAAACACATGACAGAGAGCAAGAACAATCATTGATCCAGCACCTTATTAATAGCTGGTAAATGCCAAATAAATTTTCTGCAGCCATTGGCATCTCCTAACAGAGCATAACAGTTCTGCACTCCACAGGCCATGAAGCTCTGACACACCTGAGTAGAGGCTGATACCATTCAATAAATGACTATAAGAATTAAGAGATTAAGAAAACAATTAAACTTTAAATCTTGGGCCAAGTTCCCAAGAGCAGGGTGAGCACCAAGGAAGCATCACTGCACACATGATCTTCCTTCATGGGTGGGTCACAGAGGGGCAGAGAAAGAGAAGCACAGTTGGTGCTGCCCCATCTGACATTCTGCAGCTTAGGAAAACAACAAAACCATACAAGCACCTGTTGGCATGAATTCCCTATCAAAAAATTGGTCACAGCAATGGTGAGTACATAAGGTAATGAGAGAGTCAGAAAGATTACATGGCTGGCTCAAGACATGACAGAAAGCCTGAGTAAGGTAAGGAAAATGAGTGGTTTAGGGGCAAGGGGAAACTATTTGCTCATTAAATTAGAGACAGACACACCAAATCTACAATCCAAGGTCATGAAAACACAGGAAATTCAGGAGCCAAGCTACAAAGCTGTCATATACACATAATGTCAGAAGTTCCATAGGAAGCAAGAATGACATGGGGAAACTTAGAAAGGCAAGCAAACTCAAATATGTGAACTTGCACACCCCTCTGAAAATGTGCTAAGCAGGCAATATGGGCATCTGAGGATGGAGAACAGGAAAAAGGAAGTAGCTGTTATGTAGGTGGGAAGCAGAAAGCCACCCAGGTATATTCTAGCCTTTCACACAGTCCTGTAACAATCTCCTATTTAAGAGAAGGTAGCAATTGGTTTGACAATTGTAACATCACACAACTGCAAAGCCAGACAATACCAGAGGCAAAGCAAAACAGATTTTTCCATCCCTTACTCATCTTGCAGAGGAAGAATCTGATGTGTGCCTACAACCCAAACCCCACCAAACAGCTTTGTCCCTTCTCCCCTAAGGCAGAACATCTTCCAGGGCTCAGATCATAGCAGGGAAGAAGCTGCATCTCTTCTGGTCCTTCCAGCAGCTGATAGGAAACTAGACCAAACCTGTAACTACTTTTTTACTAATCCTTGCAGCTGACATAGAATACTAAAGCTACTGTGGTTGACTTATTATTACGAAGTTAAAATTGGTTGATTTAAGTTGTAAAGGTCACCGAGTTGGCAACACTGCAGAACAAAACTCCTACCTCTTGCATTTAGCAGCCAGAGCCCAGCAGGCTTCCTCATGCTTTTAAAGTTCCCAGCAAGGAGAGGCAAATGGGAAACCTAGAGACTAGAACAGCAGAGCTCAGAACTAGGTGGGCATGTGATGAGAAATAATTCTATCATCACCAGTGCTGCTCAGTGCTTAAAGCATTTGCCATATTACAACTCCAGGATGAAGAGCAATTTAAAAATATTTAAGACTTCATTAAAAGATTGGTGTTACAAAACAAGATTAGTGATTAGCTTGCATGGGCTGGGGAAGGGAAGAAAAGAACCAACTGTTCCATTTAGCTTAAGCACAACTAAAATAAAACAAGAGTCTAGGAAAAGATGCTCTGAAATTGTAATTACATTCTTCTTCCCAGAAATTCCTCTGGGTCCAAGAATACTCGCACTAGAAAGGAGTAAAGGGTATATACACTGTTTCTGCAAGTAGCACAGGCAACCCATAAAGCATTGTCCAAACTGCAAGTCATCAAACTCCAGAGCATCTGAAAATCAAATACATTTGCAGGTCCAAGCATTGTCAAGTCTGCAGCTGCTTGGTGAAGCAGCAAATGCCCTATGAACATTATAGTCTACTAAGACAATTCTCTTCTTCTTTCACTGGATTTGGTGCAGTACACAATCTATAAAAATATTAATAAGGGGATTTGCAGCATTA